ATATTTGCCGATTTTAGTTTGTCCTGAGGGCTATTACGGTGACCATTGTATGGAGCCTTGCGAATGTAAAAACGACTACTTCATGTGCCATCCAGCCGAGGGTTGTATTTGTAGGCATGGATATGCAGGTACGTAAAGTGACCCTAAGGGTCGGTAGGATAGAGTTAAGACACTCAGGTAAGAATTAGGACATCGCGTGATTTTTGTTTGGTTGGTCCAAATGTATGTAATAGGAAACGAGCGATAAGAGCGGAAAGAGCGATAAATAGAAGTATAAAGATCTATTCTTTTTAGCTGAATTTCTCGCACGGTCCGCATTTTTTTTTTTACGTTAGAGAGGAAAGATAACGACGCAAAAAGTTCAGGTAAAAAGAATTGACCTTAAAATAGTTGCTTCTCATTCTATCTTGTAAGATGTTCCCTATTAATGGCGGCCGATGTCCTAACTCTTAAGTCTACAACACAGGATGCATTTTTTTCCTGCTGAACTGGATTTGTGTGCTTTTGCAGCTTGTGTGCCAGCAAATCAGTAGGAAAAAAACGTATCGCGTGCCTTAATTTTGCACGAAGAATTGCGATTTCAATAATTTAAAATGACTGAAAAAATTATGCTTTTAGGTGAGAACTGCGACGAGCAACTGTTCTCCCGCAATATCCAAGAGAAGTCGGACGGAGGATATGGGCACATTGTAGGAGTCGTATTTGCGTCTGTTGTTATAATTGGCGTTTTGTTGGCCGCGTACATGTACCATCGTCGCAGAATGACTGATCTCAAGAACGAGATAGCTCAAGTGCAATACACGGCCGAGCCTGTACCCCCGCCCGGTAAATTAAGCATTTTCTATTTCTGATCTTGTACGCATTAAAAATTATCGTTAAGAGGACAATCGTTAAGAAAGAATTAAGAGTTTTATCCTCGAGCGGAGAAGTCTAAAATATATATATTATTTTCGTCGTAGAACGAAATCAATTCGACAATCCCGTGTACGCGTATCAAGGTTCCTCGAAGTTCGACGACGGCACCACTACCTTGCTGAACAACTTCCAATTCCGGAATAATTTCCACAAAAACATAAATACCGAGAAGGCTAAATTCGGCCTAAACAGCTCCACCGACGATGAAGACGATTGCAAAGGTAACAGCATCGTGTTTATTAACGGCAAAGTAGAAGAAAAATTTTACACGCGATTACATCAATTTGTATGTTACTGCTTATTAGGGGCGTACGGGCTGCAGTTCGACCTGAAGAATCGGGACGCCGATATGGGAAATCCAAACCTGAATGTGTATCACAGCATCGACGAGACGGACGGCAAAAAGGTCGAGCATGTCTACGACGAGATCAAGCAGAACAACGAGGCGGAGTACGACGAGCTGAATCAGCCGCGGCCGGTCAGCTGGAACATAAAGCCGCTTGCGAATCGAACGGCCAACGGCTTCGTGCCTAAATCGCGCGACACTCCGGGACCTAGCAAAGCGGCGGACAAGGATCCGGAATTAGGTGAAACCTAAAGAGAAAAAAAGAAAAAACCTACGCAGCGTTCCTCGTTTTTCAACTGCCCAGGTTTGAAGTTAGAATGGAGCTTCATTTGCGCTCGCGGTCGCGGAAGACTCTGTCCCCTTTCTAAAAGAGGAGCAAGTCTGTGGTATTACTTTTATCATTTAAGCAAAGTAAGCCTTTACGGTAATTATTACCGGTTAATTAAAAAACTAGTTTCGTAAAAATTATGTTGGATATTTTTATACACGTATAAAATTTACATTCGCGTGCTTATTATGCCTCTTTCTGGCAACGTTACGGCAGTATTAGAATGAAAATATCAAGTTCGTAAGTGAAACGAAAAAAAATCTAAAAAAAAATAATCTTTTCTGGCATGCTCTCCTTTTAATATTTAGCTTTCACTTTGAGATATCATCGATCTCTTGTCATTTTCTCATTTGCCACGGATCATCCAATCGCGATGAGAAGATGAACGTCTCTGTATATATAAACGTATTCTTTTTAAGTATAGTTTTAATTAAATTATTATATATCTATTTGATATATACGTGCATTATACCTACGTTGCCAAAACGGGCATAAGTAGTTTAAGAAGCTGGCAATGATAAACAGGTGATAAGAAATCGAAATCATGAATGGAGTTTGCGAATACGCGCGAAGGTCTTATATTGCGGAGGATCCTTTGTATCTCGATATTATTTTATTCCGTTGTACGGTTATCGATATCGCAATAGTTAAAAAAAAACATTTGAAAGGATTCTAACAATTGTTGATACTGACGTTATAATTTAGCGTGTCCTAAAATAAGTTAGGAACTGGCTTATTTGAATGAATTTTATAAACGCAATGAATTAGGTAATTTATTGCATTAAAGTATCATGCGCAATAAAAAATAGGCGATTACTACGAACGTGGCATATTCTTATGATACGCGAGGGAAAACGTAGGCAGTCTTAATTTTCATTATTTGTTATTTTATTTTACTTAGCCGTAATTGATTATCAGTTAGATGCGATCAGAAGACGTATATATAAATTTTAAATATCCATTCTTTGTTCCTCCTTGCGTGGGGAAAATAGCAAGATGACACGGAATATCGTTCATTCCGTTTATCTTGCAATTATCTTGTGATATGTAATTCTATCTCTGGTGTATCTTTGGTGTATCCAAATGTGAAACACATATTGGTATATACCGGTAACATATAACTGACGTTTAGATTGAGAAATATATATACGATCATGTGTATTCTAAGCGGGTAAAAAGAATTGGATAAATACAAATAATGGAATAAATTTGTCAATAAGATAAAGACAGTAATGGGAGCATTCCGTTTGCAACCACGTTGCAATCAATTGATCACAGCCACTCACAGCAACCGGTGCTTCGATTGGACCAATCACTCGGAAAATTTTATATTAAATCGACGACGTCAATCAGCGACGTGGGCAATCGATGCTCCACTCGACAGTAATCAGTGTGATAATACCGTGATGTGCATTGTTAATACTTCAAGGATATTAAGAAAGATATTTTAATAAAAGTTTCCACACACGACACTTTATTGTGGTATCACACGTAGACAATCGTAGATAATGTAAAAACACTCGTTCTATCGCTCCTCCATTCGAGTTATAAGGAACGTAAAGCCTGGCACTTCTCGTCGCGTGTACGATATCGCCTTTTGCATTCTTGACAATCCACAGTCAACTGTGCAATTTAACGAATTGACAAGCATGGCGTGAGGATATTTAAATAATAACGTATTTCCGATTAGTTCGCATTACATTTACACGGAGAGCACACTTCTTACGATTATTTCGTAAAAGTATTTCTATTATTTAAAGGCGTTTAGAAATAAATCGTCGGTAGTTTCGTCGCTCTGTTAAATATTTCTGCGACGGGCCGCAGCGTAATGACACTTTTGTAATGACTTCCGTTAGCCCTCTCTCAGCATCCGCGCTCGTACGATTTCCCAAACGGGCGGCACGATCCAGTAGCATCCGCCGAGGAACTGCAGTAGCGCGGCCACGCCCAGGCACACGTTCTCACCTGTAATTGCCAAATTATGAATATGATTTTTAGCCGTGAGTTTTATCTCTGTTATTGTCGTATCATGGCGCGCATCGCGTGTGTGCCACCAAAGAAACGCGCGAAATTTATAAACCTCTGTACAATTGTTGTAAGAGACAAAAAAAAAGAGAGAACAAATAAAGATCAATGTTACACGAGACACACGTACTCTGCACGAAGCAGAAGGCCAACACTCCCAGTCCGACAATGGTGGAGAACAGTTTGTGCGAGCGATGCGCAAATTGATTCCCCAGCACGTCGCAGAGCGTCAAGTCTTGGCAGGCGAGTAGACTGCTGATGCTGATTCCGCCGAGGAGCGACCACGTTTGAAACCAGTAGTAGTCATACGTATATGTTAAATCTGTATGGATAAGAGACACTGCGGTGAGATAATTAAAATAACGAGATCTTGCTTCGCGCATTTTAATAATTCGATATATTAGCATTATAAAAATGAATATTAAGATTGAATAAAAAAATGTGTTATATTAATTATTAGAAATTAATATAACAGCAATTATTTAGAAATGTTCAAAAAATGCGGGATTCTTTGCAGGCGTTTCACGCACTTAACAGAATAACGCTGCCGAGCCAACAGGCGCCGCCGAAATATATTCTTCTGTACTGGGCGGTGGTGACGATGGACCAGTAGCTGGCGACGCTGGGTACGAAGGAACCGACGCCGGCGATCACCAGCAACGTCGCCCAGTCGTCCATGTGATAATCGTCCAGCTCCGCTCGCTTCAGGTACAGAGCGGGTACCAGAATCCAGAAGAAGAGCGAACCGGCCCTCATCCCGATCCACGTCACCACGGCCGCCCAGAATCTGAAGTAGCGAGCCACGCGGAACTCCTGCTTCCACTTGTCGCCCGTTCGCACGGCCGGATTGACGAAGAGCTCGACGTCCTCGTCCAGCTCCTGATACGCGTAGATGCTGTTCACCTCGCTGAACAGAGGCGCAGCGTTTCTGTCCTGCTTGTCGCCGTTGTCGTAGCCGACGTTATCCGCGCCGACGTTGTCCCGTTGATCCGACATCTCCGTATCTCTGTCCGGGGACAGTCTGATGCCCAATTCGTTATCCTCGTCGGCCAGAAGCAATCTGTTGACAAAAATGCGATTTTACATAGCGAGAAAGCGCAGCGTTAGGTCTTTTTAAGAGAAATTTCAGACGGACGATTCTGCTTTAATTATAGGGATCAATGCAAGGGTTTAATATTAGAAGCGGGACGAAGAATTAGAAGGGGGACGAGAATCGTCCGTTACCTGTAGGGAGACGCTCGCCGCGGAATTGGGAAGCGCAAGGTCAGGGTGCCCAAGACGGTGGGGACGAAGGCGATCGTCATCAGCAGGAGCCCGGTCTTGAGATCGGTCTCCGCGAGCAGGAAGTGCGCGAGCGTCGGCACGAGGACGAAGCCGACGGACGTGGCGATGTTCTTCAGCGTGAGCGCCAACGGCAGCCTCACCCGGAAGTGCCTCCGCAGCACGGTCTCGCTCTCGACGATCACGAAACTCGCCCCTATCCCCATCACCGCACCGGCGCTCAAGCCGGCCAAGTACGCGCCCACGCCGCCGGTCGCCAGGTAACCGGAGGCTATGACACCCGTGGCGAGAAGGCCCACGCCGATGAGGCCGACCAGCCGTGGTATCGACGCCAGATCCGTGATGGCCTTGGTCCACGGGTCTGAAAGATCGCGAGCGAAAATAGTGGGGGCCCGGTTAAGGTGTGATGAGGAGTTGATACGTATATATAATAGCGATGTAAAAATAAGCACCTGCTAAGCTCCAAAAAGCGACGAACAGTAGAGGCGCCAGGGTGACTTCGTTCCATATATCGCTGTCAAATGAACTGTTGATGACCAGGTATCCCCACACTACGCCGTACATCGACAGGACGCTGGGCACGGTGATCTGTGTATTTTAACAACGCGATATCCGCATTTGTAGGTACTCTGAATCTATTCTTTCAGACCCTTGTTCTTAGAATTCTTCATACAATTTTTCAAAGTTTTTTATATAATTTTATAACTTTTTAGAAAATTTCTCAGATTTTTACGAATTAAAACACTTGTCAGAAATGCTGAGAAAATTTACATCTTTTATTCTAAAATTTTTTATATATGCATTTTGAATTCTAAGATTTCTCATTTTATAATTTCTAAAGAAAACTTTATATAACTATAAAACCTGAAAAAGTTTTAAGGCTCTTTTTCAGAAATATTTATATATTTAAAATATAAAAATTTTATAAAATATATTAAATAATATGTATATAAAATACGTGAAAAATTATTAAAAATGTCATGAGAGTTTTTTTCATCAAGGGATGCACCGATATTCAATAGACGCATCATACAGGGCATCGAGAAATAATAGGATTCTATTACTTACCTATCGAAACATTTACAGACGCTAAAACGCGAGCATGGCTAAAACGTAGCATGGACCTACGATATGTAGTTCCATGCAAATCGTTAACGAAAAATCATTGTTCGATTCGTGCGTTCCTCATATCTGGCGAACTTACGTCGTAAAAAAACGTAACACCTGGAACAAAATTATTTTTAACGCATCGCAACGGTCGTCATATATTTATGCGTCGAACAAAGAAAAAGAAATACTGCAAGATTTTAACTCTTTTTTTTTAAAGAAAAATACATATCGATACCATCAGGCATACATTTCTAAATACCCTGTATTGCGTCGAATATCGACTGTCTTTTTTTTTAATTCGTCTTAATTTTACAATTTTAATTTAGTTGATTTAAACAAATTATACGCGAACATTTTAAGAAAGAATCAGGTAACGGTATATTCAGTGCCAAATGTAGATCAACGAGATCTGATCTCTGAATGAAAAGCACGATTTTATTATTAAGATACACGTGTGAGACATTCGAACCTGAATGAAGGCAACACCTAGGAGGACCAACCACGAGTATCCGCCATCTGGAGCTGTCGGTCCGAGCTCCGGGTACGAAGTGACGATCTCGTCGAGACGAAGTCGCTCGACGAGCGGCATCTTTCACTCGTCGCGCTCGGCGCAAACGTTCTCGAACGTGCGTATGTAAAACTTATGCAAATAACGACGTTTAAAACGATAGGAAAATTCGCCAAAGTGACGCCGCGACACTTCCTCGCTTTGGACGAACAGCAGTCATTAAGACGGCTTAAAATGTACTGTACGCAGTATCTAATCTCGGCTAAGGTGTCGACGCTCCGATAGCCGTTGATAAGAAGGAAAAATCACGTCGTTTTCTCACCTGCCTCAACGCAGTCTACGCAGATTTCCGGAGTTCGAGCTGCACTCCGGATTTATTTATCACCTTTAACGATAATTTGTCCGCAAGTGAGTGCAAATCCACAACGGAAAGACCGGTTTTGCTAAAGTCTAAATTTTTAAAACTTTGAAATGTAAGAATTTAGCTAGATATATATTTAAAAATAAGTATGTTGGGTCGTCGAAAATAATTAATATGAGATAAACTGATTGTGCTAGAATAACATTTTTTTGCAACATTATCATAACACTTGAGCATCCTACATAATTATTTTGGTAGCTCAATATACCTAATTATTTTCAAACTTGTATCTTAATTTTTATATAATTTCAGCAAAACTGTTAATTAATTCTTTTCTCGTGTGTTACCATTGCGAAATAAATTTCATTGGGATTGTTATAATAAATAACATTTATTTATAAACGGATTACATCGTAAATCGTTAATTTGAATACTAGGTAGCATTAATCACAATTCGATATCGCTCGTTGAGTGTATGCGGTATACCTGAAAATTCGCCGAACATGAAAATTCATGCTCAATTTTACGCGCCGTTGCGAGCGCGCGAATTATCGAGCCATGAATAACTTGGTATAAAACGGCGATACCGTTACAGCTGAAGATATTTTACAAAAGTTTTGCGTGCGCGAAGCTTCTTTCGCGGAACGCGATTTTTAATTAATTGTGCCCTAGCGCTTTTCGCATCGAAACGAGCGAAACGGATAAGCTGAGTTATCGAACTCACTAATACTTTCGCGAGACGAGAATGAAAATTTTTATTAAGTAAAAAAAGAGACGGAAAGTTTATGTGGTCAAACTGAAAGCAAAATTTGCGAATTTATTTCAGGGAAAGGAATAAATGGACACAGTTCTCTATTTAGATGTTTTGTACTATCATAGAAAACTTCAGACTAATTTTTGCATTATTTATATTGTTATTATTTTGTAAACACATTTTTTAATAGTCTATTTTAAGTTGAATCTATAGAGCAAAGTATTCTGAGAAAAACTAGACCAGAAAATAACAGATTGCTTAGAATTAATTTAAGTCACGGAATCGTGGCAAAACGCGAGAAACTTAAAATTTTCGGGCTTGTCTTCAGTGACAGAAAAATCCTTATATTTTTAATAAGTTTTGTACTGTAACTTAAATTCTTATATCTTAAATATAGTAATAAATAATACCTAAATGAAGAACTATCCACTTGTTTTTTTTTCCCCGAAATAAATTCGTCAATTTTGCCATAAATTTGATCATACAAACCTCCTATCTCTCAAAGCAGAAACTTTCCGTTTACTAGAAAACAGTTTCTCTCCTTTTTCTTCGTTCACACATCCTCGCGGGTGTCACCATTCGCTATCGAGGTGTACCGCACCCTCTTGCTGACCGAGTCGAATACCGGCTCGATCTTCTTCTGAATCGTCGCCCTTTGCAGATACACCAAAGCGCACACCAGGGCGACCAGCACCATCGAGAGGAAGCAAAGCACCACCGTCGTCCCTCCTCGCCGGGTGGAAGCTAGCAGCTTCGTAGGGCAATTCCTCGTTTCGTGGAAATCGCGGGTTACGTTACCTAATAAAAAGAAAAGAGCGTAAAGAGTCCTGTGTATATATTTAATTATAGGGGAAATTGAATCAAAATGAATTGGTTTTTATACATGGTGTAGCTTATAATCTGATAAATAGAAAATGTCATGGATATCAATTAATTTCGATAATAGAGAGTTTCTTGAGTTATAATGTATTTAAGACGTTTTATGTCTCGATTATAGATTTTACATTGTCTGGAATCATGTGAAAACCAATTCAATTTACAGGAATTTAATTTTCCATTACAATTAGTGCGGATTTCTTTCGGTTTCCGTGAGAAAATGCGTTTATCCGTTATTAATAAAGAATTAATTACCATCGTAGCACTGTAGGAGGGACTTGTTTCGAATGAACACTTTCGTCTTCTTCATCCACTGGATGAACGGATTGAGTCTGCAGGTGCACACGAAGGGATTGCCGGAAAAGTCGACGGAAAAGTCTACGGGCCGATCGTGCTTGGCGAGATTGTCCATGGTGTGGAGATCGCGCTCGAGCACCCTCGTGAATTTGTTCCGCCGTAGATCCAGGAAGCGCAGGTTGTGCAGGCACGACAGATTGAAGTGCAGCGCGCTCAGCTCGTTGTCGCCGAGATGGAGGTCGAGGAGATTCGGTAGATCGCAGAACACGTTGACATCTCGAAACTCCGAGATCTCATTCTGTTCGAGATGGAGTTTTATCAGCCGTGTGAGGTTGCTGGAAAAAAATGAGAAACATCAAATAAATAATTAACTTTAAAAAAAAAAATATCGCCAAAATTAGCTGGCATTATAAATGATGAAGTATAGAAAAATGTTGATTGTGTCATGCGATAAAGTAAGAAACTATTGAATTCATTATACCTTAATTTATTGAACCTGGTACTCTAATAAACTTTCAAAATAATATATATATTTTATTAATATATTTATTCTGTTTGAAAAAATATTCTCTATGTGATTTTAAGATAAATGTTTACATGTTCTATTTTGCAATAATATAAAAAAGTATGTATCGATATAATCACTTAGAAGACAAACAAATAAAACACAATAATATTAAACAGTCAAAGCATATTAAGTCCAGATAAATAAAATTAATAAGAAAATAACTACATTATCAAATAGCACTTTCATCTAAATTATTATATAATGCATTAATCACATCAAAATAAGACTTATTGTATTTAACATAATTTTCAATAAAAATCAATCGTAATATGCGATCGCCAATATATTTCTGGATAAAAGGGGAAAAAATGAATTGATGAAAAAAAAAACAAAGACGAAAGGAGAAAAGAAAGAAAAAAAGAGATTTATTTTACGTAATGCTAGTTTAAAAAAAACAAAGAGAGAAACGAACAAATCAAAGAAACGTAAAACATACCTGTTCACGAAGATGTCGTGGAGCGTCGACGCCAGGTTCCTCGGTGGGCCGTCCTCGAAAGCGTCGGTCAAGTGCAGCTCCAGGAGGGAGATGAAATTGGAGAACACCCTCGGGTGGCTCCTCGCGGGATCCAACGAGAGCTCGTTGAAGTCGAGTATGAGACGCTCCACGTGCTGCACGTGGTGATAGGCCTTGCCGCGTATCTCGCGTATCTTGTTGTTCGACATGTCGATCACCCTCAGATACGGCAGACTGTCCAGGGTGCCGAAAACGTTCCAGGGCAGCTCCTCCAGCTCGTTCCCCGTGAAGATTAGCACCTGGAAAAATAACGAAAGTACAATCGAAACGTTATCTCGTTAATCGTGTAATAGAGTCGCGCGCGCGCGCACGGACTTCGGTCGCGATTGTTATACGCACTTGCGTCTCGTTAGGTAGATGCGCCAGCGGGGACGTGTCGTGGAATCCGGTTCCCGTGCAATTCACGACGTACTGGTGGTGACCGTCGTAGCACGTTCGGAGGCAGTAACAGCGGTCCTTGAAGGCCGGGCCGCACTCGAGCTTGGACGACTCCGGCGTCTCCAGCGAGTGAAAATTGGGATCCTGGCAGTCGTTAGTTGATCCGGCGATCAACGCCAACATCAAGAGGAACGTCGAACAGAAAACGACGGTCTTCATCGCGGCTAACGATGGTCAAAGGACTTCGCGACGGACGGACTTCCGGGAAGGATTTCGCGCTTACGCTTACGCACGTTCGTCCAAACGTTGGCCGACAAGACCTTCACGCGTCGCGCTTCCAATCTATATAAATTCACACAAAAGAATTTTAATTATAAATTTATTATTACAACTTAATATAATTCATTATCACGCGGAAGAAAAAGATTTTGCTCAAGTATATATGTATACAAGTTTAGCTAAATCTGGATTTGAAAATAATTTTGCTGGGCTATCAAAATAATTATACAGAGCACCTAAGCACGGTGAGCAGTACCGTGAAAAGTTTTGACATTCTAGCAATCAACTTGAGCGTAATTACTTTGATGGTCCAACGTAATTATTTTTAGATCTGTATCTAACTAAATTTTCAGATATTTCAGCAAAACCACGTACAAGAATCTAAGCAAGAGAGAGGACAATTCAATCGTGTACGTTCGCGCAATTGCAACATAACGTCGTCGTATCTGCCGGCAGTTTGGAGCTGCGAAGTAGGTCGAGTCACGTATCGCCAAGTCGGCGGACTTGGGAAACGTTGAACTGGCTCACCCACGCGACAGGTGATGTCGTGCGGAGAGAAGAGGGCCGCCTTCTCCGGAGGCTCCGTCGGATACCTTAGGTACACACGTACACGCGGAACGTCGCGCATGTAATCGTCACATGGCGTGAGATGGCCGTGGCACGCTTACTTAGTATACTCAGTGTACTCAGCGAGCTGGCATTGAGAGAAAGCGATTGCGTCGAAATTGCGGCTCTCCGATTGATAAACCTAAGTAAACGGAGAGCGGCGCGCAAACATATAGCCGACGGATTTGGCCCGTCGCGATTAATTCTCAAGCGGGGCCTAGCAACTTCAATCGACGAAATATACGAGTGAAATTTTTATTCAAGAAAATGATGTGTAGGTACTCGCCAATTAATTAATAAATATCGGACCGCATAGAGAGGTATCGTTTCGCTGATGGTGCCTGGCTGTCGAAAACGATACTTCCCATTATTATAGTATGCGCATCGCTCGATATATCCGGTTACGCGTTCTCCGCGTCAGATTTCTCAGACCTCTGCCTGGAGAACGGAGTCGCGTCGCGTAGGAAATTTTTACTTGTCGAAAAAGAGAGACACCACTTACCATTCCGTCCGCGTGACGAAAAGGAAAGAGAGGACGGGAGGGAGAGACTCGGGGGGGATCCCGAGTGCGCCTCCGTCCGAGGAATGCACCGTCAGGCTATATATCTCACTTGTCCCGCAGGAGGAAGAGACCCGATCGGAGACGCGCACCTCGAGTTTTCGGCAGCCGAAATATTTATACGCACGTAATTCGAGGATCCGCGAAGCGTACACGTTTCCGTTTCTCTTCCTCCGGGGGAGGGTCTCTCGAAGGCTTCCGGAGGGCAGCGTCGAGAACGCGCGAGAGACGCGACGAGAGACCAGGGAGTACTTTCGACGGGGGAACTCCGCGAGGGAGGCAGGAAGCGCGAGAGCTCCCGTTCTCCACGCCGCGACGGACCGCACCACATTGCGCGGCCGTGCTTCATCCCGACCGCACCTGCGGTCCCGCCTGCCCCTCCTGGGCCCCTCGGCGGGCCCCAGGTGCCCGAGCGCGAGAGACCGTCCGGCCCCACCACTGGCCACCACCAGTTCTCCACGCGAGAGCGGTCGGCCTCGTTCCCTCCGCACGCGAGTCGCCTCGCGCCTTCTCCGTCTGATGTATCACCTCCTTCCGATCCCCTTTCCTTCCTCCTTCCTTGATCCTTCCCGTGATCCCGCTCTCGCCCGCTCCGCTTCGCTTCGCGCCGTCATCATTAACAACCCGCCGGCGCGGCTCGGAATGGGGGACCGCAGTTGTTAAGAGAGACTCGAGCGTCTCGTGGCCGGAGTACCGATATACACCTGGAACGGAGTTTAATAAAGGCTTCAATTACGTCGCCCGCTCATTGTCGGAATTAACTCTGGAATTGTTCCATTACCAGCAGATCTCCATCGATTATCTTTTATTCCGCTCGTTATTATTCCATTCGTTTGTATTTCGCTCACAGCTCTCTCTTTCTCGTTGAGAGATCCCCAACGTACCGCAATCGAAAAAGTCTCAGGTGCGCTTCCGTATTCCGGCACTTGATTATGATTAACTCGATTTATATTCCTTCGGCGCAAAAGCACCTTGCGGTTCTTGATTATCATTTTAATTCTGCATTTCACTTCCGGTTACGTTCGAAGAAAATGACCTCGAAAGATTTTTCCTGTAATTACATAAGTAATAAGTTATTTATTGTATATTGATCAGTAATCACATTAACATATCAATGACTGATTTCAATTTACGTGTTAATGAATAAACACTCATTTGGAGGTGTACGAGTATCTTTATTCATGGAAAACTGCATATACTGAATGCAGAATGGAAGTCTGTCCGGAGAGTAATCGCCTTAAATTTCGCGATGCACACAAAACACAAAAGTCAACTGTACAGTTTATATCGTCGCAAGTGATCAATCGCACGCCTCGCTCCTGCACACGTAATTTTCTCTCTCTTTCCGTACACAGTACAATTTTACACTTATAGGACTTATCTCTAATATTTTTTTTCTTATCTTCTCTACGAAACGGCGGACAACATCAAAAATCGTAATCCACAACGTAATTGGGAAATAAACCCTAAGTAAAGTAAATGTCAAAATCGAACAATCCGATCCGAGAATGCACGAGATGCATCGTACAGATGTGTGCGGGTGTATCTTTGTGCCGGTATACGAGTGTCGCGATGCGAAATCGAAAGAAGAGTATGCACGTTTTTTAGTCAACACATATATATGCATACGTATTGCTGTTACACGCTGTTACATATCTTCGTATTTTTTTTTTTTTACATATTACACGCAACGTTTATTCTTGCGCTACAACTTTTTATATAACACATCGATGACTTCATGACTAACTTTATTTCTTCTTAAACGACGAGACATATTGCGTCACGACTTTAACAATGGAGTTGGTCATGAATTCTATGCGTTTCATCTAGAAGTTCGTTTCGCTTGAATTTTCGCTTGCGACAATTGTCAGGATGCCTGAAAAGAATTTCCAAAAGATTTTCGATTTCCAACGCAAACTTGTGGACCATCACTCCGATCATACGCGTGAGTAAAAGTTCCACAAAAAAAATCTTAATAAAATGTACATTAGCGCAATACATATAACGTTTTCGCAATACATCAACATTTAGAAGTAGTGATTTTTATACCATCATGCAATGTCTGGATCAGAGATTTCCAAAGTGTGAATCGCGAAGAAATTTACAATGGTGGAAACTATAGTAAGAATCAAAACGTAATTTCAAAACTGCAATTATATCTAACTTCTTGCGTCTAAAAATAGCTCGTATCAATATCGACATTAAATCTATCAACAAAAGAGGAAACAAGGGCATTCCTCAGATATGCCTAGATTACGAATCTGAGAAATAGATTTATAAAATTGTACTCAATAAAAAATTAAAAAGAGCAGAATATATACACATAAATAAATAATTAATTTACCCCTCTCTACTTTTGCATATTAATTAAAGCTAGATGAGTCGCGAATGTCGTTTTAAAAAGTGAGTCGCGATCCACACAAGTTTGGGAAGCCCTGCTTTGGATCGTTGCATACAACCAACATCTTGTGCTATATTAATGAAACCAAACATCACGTAGCGCGGATCAGATATGATATAAACATTCGAAGACTTATTTGGATTCAGCGGCGTCATAAAAAATATTGATATGGCGATTCATTCGATAAATTCGCACGAAGTCAGAGTGCATTTTAAATTAATTGGGAAGCATATATAAGACGTTTCTCGCAAAAGCAATGTCCTCGGTGTGTGCAATAATTTGTTGCGATTAATCCAATTTATATAAAATCGAACACATTATTATTGTGTATGTAAACTACTCTATAAGAAGTTCTTTTTTTTCTTGTAAAACTTGATGGTAACAATTATTAATATTGCTATACCTCATAGAATCTATAGAAAATTATCATTAATATGTATATAAAAAATAATATATAAAATATATCGTATATCGCGTGAGATAAAGCAAGTAGATCGATAAGTTAACGTTACATCGTTTACAGACTAGAAACTATGACGATCGCGCTGTAAGTTAACTTATAGTACTAGATTGATTGTATCGTTAGTAGGTGCACGGTCCTTTTCCTATTTTGATTTGCAAGATTAACGCTACGAAAACGTTAGTCGATGTAAGACACGATAACTGATATTCATCGCGTTCGGGGATTCCTGTTTTCTCAGATGCGTTAAACGATCCTAATTGAGATTAGTCAAGTGAAAGTATATGGCTTTCAATCTAAGTTATAAGCTTAAAGTAAAAAGAAAAAGATTAGCAATTTAACGCGAGATATTATAAACACGCGCTCGTAAGATTATATAAATATATCAGATGCAACACAAAATATACTTTTTTTTTCGTCGTAGAAATAATATTTCTAACACCTCAATTATGCAATTTAAAATATAACAATTTTCACCTTATGTCAACGCAATGCGTTTTTTTAGTTTGGTTTACTACTTTGGCCCGAAGAAACCCTAGCTGCAAGTAGGTACTTTGTGAAAGATGTTAAATGCTTATGTACACAAGTCTTTAAATTGGAAATATATGTATTTATATAGGAGAGCATTTGGCAGTCAATCAGAACAATCGAATGTCCGTTATTTAAATTCGCGTCTCGAATTTTTTCCATAAAATAATTCGTAAAATCAAGATTCTTTCCAATGGTATATTGTATCGTCATATAAGATATGCAGGTATAAGTATAGACTGAGATGATAGTCAAATTCAATAATAATATCACGAAATACTATTAATGAAAACAAAGATCAAGAAAATTTGCATTCAAAGTCAGAGAGCATTTCGAATTAATTAAGAGAGAGGGAGGATTTATCTAATTAGACTTCTTCCTACAGTCCCGCTGTCATTCTCAAATTTTGGAAGGCTTATATATATGTATACGTATATAAATATATATATGTTACATATATCTTAAATAATTGTATCTGCACCAATACAAGTCACACATATACGTCTGCTCAAATTGATGCAAATAGTTGGAAAACAACTGATTATTTTCTCTATTCAATATAGCCTTGATTTAGTAAAGAGATATAAGTTCGATATTCAGAACGCGCTTATGACAGTATTAGCGCGCGTTTAGCATACAGTTCACATTACATGTACTGTAGAATCTCATAGACTTGTTAGCGCGCTAACATCGTTATAAGCGTCTTGAATCTGGGCCATAATCCGCCTTCGAAATTTATATATGCATGTCGATAAAAATTTCATACAATTATACATTTTAGTTTTAATACCTGTCATATCCTTGTACCCCTTCAAGATAAATCAGTCAAAAAATTGAATATATTATTCTCGCGAGTAATAAACTAAGAAGTAAGAGTCATTTGTGCACGTACGTAAATCGTTCATATAAAAATCAATTTTATAAAATACGCAAATTCTCTCTATGTCAAAAGGGAGATATCAAGTTATTTACAAAAAGTAGAATAAAATAAGAAAAATGATGCTATTACACGTCAGATCTTGAATTGGTCCCAAAATAACGCATACCAATTCGCACAGGATAGTAATGCGGCCTCAATAAAACGGAATTTTGATTATTTTTTTTGGTATTACGCCGTTATTGTGGGACACCCGATAAAGGGGGAGATTCTTACACGTGACAATGCGCGATGAAAATCAGTTTTCTTAAGCTTTGTATCTGTCTGACGGTCCGCCTTTGCAACAGCAGATTAAAGCGAGTATCAGACTGAGGATTTCCAGGGCCAGGACCAGTATCGCCGCACCCATGAAGTGATAAGTCTGCGACTTCAGCGTCGTCACCAACTTCTCCATGCATCCCTGCAACAGAATTCTTATCTTGATCTCTACGTTTTGACGCGCGATAAGGATAAAATGTGCACAATGTAAGATTAAATGGCGAACAAATTGTAGTATAGCAAATATAAAAATACAAATAACGTTACCTCGTTGTAGATCGCGGAGCTCACGACTGCGGCGACCTTCATCTGACGACCTTCGTTGCAGGCGGCGCTGGTCGGGTCTTTGCAGCACGATTTCGGTATTTTGAACAATATGTTGTTGGAGTTCGAAACTTGGAAGTTGAAGCGCGAGGAATCCTGGCTCGCGTACTTGCTGCCGGCCCAATCTGCAGGTCCGTTGGCTCCGCAGCACTCGAGAGTGGTCTGAATCGTATCCATGATCTGCGTGCGACACTGTATCTCGCCGTATTCGACCTGCGAAAGTAACGAAACATGTTTCTTCTCGGTAAAACACGACAATTGTCATTGTCGAAGAATATTTAAGAATCACTCTGCGTGGGAGAATCGTTGAATTTAGCGTGCAGTCTCTCGTAATTGAAGGAGGATTAATTACCTTCACGGTGTTTATCACGGAAGATCGCACCAGCTCGTCGAGACGGTCCTTATGGGCGTACAGCCAGCCGGCGAAGGCGATCTGCGCGACAACGATGACGAGCATGATGCTGAAGAAGGTGGCCAGGCAATACCGCGAGTGCTTGAAGGCGCTGCACCAGCCCAGGATGGAGACGATGAGCATGAGGATTCCGGTGCAGAGCAGAATGTACAGGCCCGCCTCGTAGTTGTTCCCTTCCTCGGCGATCGATACTAAATACGTTTTGTCCGACAGCATACATGCTACCAGGGTGATCACCGTTACCGAGATTATCTGTAAAAGACACGCGAACGTGACATTCAAAGCCAAGAGCTGCATGCGAGGACGGACGATCGCGAATAAACGCGAACGAGCAATTAGAGCTCGTAAATACGTCCGGGCAGATGGATCGCAAACGATCAGCGCGGTTTCCTTTTCATATATGCCTCGACGTGAAAAATGAAACGCTATTCGCGCTCGCGCGTGTTCAGTGGAGACGCGGCTTCGATTATAATTAGCAGAACGAGAAACGTCTAATCCGGAAATAGTCACCCGGAGTGACTTTTATATCCCAGCAGCGAGAAAATGAAGCTCAGTCGCAATAGCTTTCTTTACTCTGATCGAGAATCTCTATTTTTTAAATTCCTCCTTACTTTTTTAAGAAAATATTGAGTAAATCTATAGACACTATAATCCTAAATATTATCTAATAAATTGTAAAACAATCAATGATATATATAAGATATATATAAATATTATATATTTATTAATAATATAGTTAATTATAATTAATATTATTTATTAATAATAACGATTTTTGAAGTGGGACGTAAAAAAACGCTACAGACGATCGTTTACAATGTTTACATAAAAAGAAGAAAAATAGGTGACTGTTGAGTTAATGCGCTTTTTCTTCTCCGGCCGATTAATTCTATTCATAATTTATTCTTGGAATTGTTCGAACGACGAAAGTTGCAGAACAGCGTGACTCGGTCCACAAAGGGGTTTTTAAGCTTTCGTGCGAGTCCCGACGTTGAAGGATGACTAACGAGCCCACTTTACGAACCCGAGCCGTACACGGGGTCTGGACGGGGGAGGTGTACGGGAGGTTTACAATAAAACTGTCTGTCTGCCAGATGCGGCAGCTTCCATTTAAGCGCGCGGATTATCCCGGGGTTTCCTGTCTCTCTTCCAGGACTCACTGGAGGTTCACGGATTAAAGGTGAAAGGCGAAGGTAGAAAAGGTCCTTGGCGTTTCGTCCGATTTTGTTCGAAGAAAGAGTTGTCAAAGTCTCTGTGACCGCCATGAAATTTCTAACTTTTTATGCGTGCATAAACATGCAATGCCTTAAAACGGAAAGGGAGAGAGAGAGAGAGGGAACTGCTCGCAGCACGCCTCCACTTATTCGTCGCGCGGCGAGAATAGACGATCTCGCTATAACGCCGAGAGAGTTGATGTAAGAGCGCGCGCAACAACTAAAAACGATCCGATGAATCAGAAGCGAATTCCATCCCGCTAATATCAGTGCTAATACCGATCGCGGCTATCCACCGCGATCTTGACGATTCCCCGACGTTCTCCCCGACGTAACATCGTCACGCGAGTCCAGGCATCCCGGCGAGCAAAACCTCTAACAGTTAAATCTGTCGAGATCAAATTTTATTTAATGTCCGCCGCAAATTTTGTCAGTAATACAAAAAAAAAACGTAGCAGAAATGTAGTAAAATCTGTTAACAAAATACGATAGCAAATTGACTGCAGAAACCAAGCGGAATCTGCCACTTTGTAATCGTTTAAATAATATATTCCGTTTAAATGTTTACAAAACGACAAATTTGTTCGATTTGACGGGTTTCTGCTGATAATCTGTCGTCAGATCATACCTTGGCCGTAAGTATAGAGCACTCTCAATTTAATGCATTTTCTTGGAAAAGGCGGTAATAAAAGTCAAAGGAAAACTAACAAAATATTAAAATTATTATAGAAATAAATATTATTTTTCAATAAAATTGTTTCTAATATCTTTCTCATTAGATGCAGACATTCACGTCAAATTGTGCTTTATGTTATACTCATGGCCAAGGTATCTGCAGGCTCCGCCGTGCAAAACACGAGCTTAATGCGCATATAAATGATATGGATTTGCAGCGAGATATCCGCTGCCAATTTGTTGGCACGCTGCGGACAGTTTGCTTGCTGAGATGTCAGTAGCAGATCCAAGCGGAATAACGCGGCAGACTGGCATCAGCTGTGTCCGCATTAAGCTCGCGTTCTGCCAACAGAACCCGCGCCATCCAACATGTGACTGCAGAGCCTGTCATTTAAGATATAATTTTATAAATGTTTTATAAATCACTTATAAATGTCAAAAAATATTGTACAATATTTGATTTTATGCGAAATGACAGGCGAGAGATTCCGCTCTCGATTTTCACGGTAAATCTATCGTACCATATTTCGCTATCAGAGTGCATAAGTTCCGTTACATATCCGCTGACAAAATTTGCAGCAAGAGAAACCTGTTTTCGACGCGATTTGGCTTATCCGGGCGGGAGAAGGAGGGGAATGAAGTGTCACGGATATTCCGCGTTAAACGGGACGTTTAACGACTCGCGGGGTCTTACGTCGACGTCATAAACACCGACGGGACTCTGAACCGGCTTACGTATAGCGATTACGGCAAATATACATAGTCGGCGTGAAGTGCAGCCGGCTCTCGGAAGGCGTACTTACTCCTTCGTTAATACATATCTACCGTCCTACGTGTAGAGGCGAGAAACGGGAGGAAGGGAATTGGGCCGCGTAGCGTGGGCCGCGAAGGCTCGCTCGTAGGAAGAAACGCGCTCTCTCGCGCTCTTCGACCGCGAGACTATATTTATACAACGCGCGCGTGCTCTCGCGTCTAAGATGAATATTTCGAAATTGTGAATCCCGAGGTCAATAAATGTCTCGCGCGCGCGAGAGAATCGTCTTCTCTCCGCGACCGATGTTTATTTTTCAGCTCCGTCCATCGGCGAAAAATCGCGCGGTCGTCGCCTCTCGCTCTCCGAGATGTTCTTCCGCTCTCGTTCCCCGAGATCTCTCGCGTCTCGTATAGTACTCCAAGATTCGACTGTGTGTCGCACACGATTTTGGATGAGATTTACAAAAGCGAGCAAATTCATTAAGTGTTGACCTAAAAGTTAAATGAAATCATGAATATTCTGGCAAATTCGCTCATTTTTGTCATTTTCAAGATCAACACTGTAGATTCAAGACGTGTAAAAAGTAGGGCTGGTGATTTGCCTCGAAGGCTTCGACATTCGAAGTTTCGGCATTAAAATATTCGAATTCTTTCGAAGCTTCGAAGTTTCGAAATTTCAAAAAATACATTCGTGCAAATGATAAATTTATTCAGAAAATTTACAAATATTGTAAATAAAAAGAATTAATATATATACGAAATTATTCCTAAAAAATTTGAAAGTATATTGTAACCTGAAATGTTGCAAATTAATAATTAAACTGATTGCATGTGTAAATAAAGAAAGATAATGATCAATAAAACAATTTAATTAAGAAAATTCAATTTTTAATGTATTTTTTAAAACTTCGAAACTTCGAAGCTTCAAAGCTTCGTTGGCACCTTAAACTTCGAAAGGTCGAAGTTAACGTCGAAGCTTCGAATATTCGATGAAGTGAGCAAAAAGTAACAACCCTAGTAAAAAGTGTCCCATATCCGCGTAAAAATAATCACACTATATATACTATGCAAAAATGAATTTATGCATTTAAATATATTTTTACATTGAATGGGGCATTTTTTACACACCTTGGATTTACATTAAGTTGTGTGACACTTCTATCGGTTGCGATCGAAAACATCACCCGAATACCCTCGTATATCATTTTATTATATCATTTTAAAAAGGATATAAAATGATAAACGAGAGCACTCGGGTGATGTTTCCGAACGCAGCCACAATCGAATTCTGGCCCGCGCTTTCGGACATCATCGATATTTCCGTCGCACGTGGACGCGGATCGCTCCACGCGATTCGCGTTTACGACTCGCCTGGAAGACCACCCGCGCTAAACACAGAAGTAACATTACATCAATATTAAAATTTACCACTCAATACAAATGTGATAACACATGTTGTTGTGCAACATGTTGCACGCAACAGTTACATCTGGAGTAATAAATTACAATATAAATGTTAACGTTACAGTTGTTTTTTTTGTGTTTATTAGCGATCGGCAGGGATCTTCGCGGCGCAACTTTCCGGGGGCGAGATTGATTTTTATCGCGGCGGGAAAAGGCGCGGCGATGAATCCAATCGCGGGGGCTCGGAGTGACCGTTAACTCGGGCTTATCGATTGCGCTCCATAAAATTTAACGTCGAACGCGAGCGTCGTAATATAAGCGACCCGCCAAAGGGGCATCGGCGGGATAACGGCGGGGAGTCGCGACAAAAAAAAAGCAAGAATTTTTCCCAACTCCATTCAAGTTTATATATCATATGTGCGTTACACATACATACGCATGTATTACGAGGAAGGAAACGCTACGTGTCTGGCTCGCCAGGCCGGATGTTTACTGACCGGATGTTTACACCGATAAAAATCTAGTCCTGGAATTGATTTGAATTGAAGATTGCGGAGCGAGGGAGGTATCAAATCGCTCGGGTGCGTGCGTAGGAAAACATATATGCGTATCGATCTCTTGAGACGCTTAGAGAGAGAGAGAGAGAGAGAGAGGGAGAGGAACGCGCGTCTCCGCGTGGAAGTTGATGATGGACTCACCAAAAACACAAGGCTCATGGCCGCCAGCGTGTACTTGGAGAAGTTGTAGCAAAACGTCGCCATGATTCTGCCGGGATCCGAAGAGAGCGGGATAGACTAAAATGCGAGATTCCTCGGATGACCGCGCGCGCGCGCGCGCGAGACCCTTCCGCGACGCTGAAACGTGTGTCGGCCGGCTTATGTATGCACCACTGTCGCTCCGCGCCGAGCGATGCGCGCTGACGACGAAACACGTATGTATATATAGGACGCGCGCGTCTGCCGCGCGCTCCCGCACAGATGCGCTCTCACGATTGATGCGCTTCCGTACGTAAACGCGGACGCGCTCTTCTTCTCCACCCGGGGCGGGGGGGGTGGATTCCGTGCTCGACGACGGGGGCTGGCGGGAAGCGGCGCGACGCCTCGGCGCGATCGTTCGCTCGACGCGACGTCCACCACCAGCTTTACGCGAGCGACTCCGTCGGCTCCGTCCACGATACACGGGATGGCACTTGAATACGCTTGAATACACTGAAGAGTGGAGCCAGGAGCGAAGCAGACGTCGAATTATCGGCGGTCCGAGTGGGGGGTCGGGGATCGTCGCGTCGAGTGCAGAGAGCGCTACCTGCTGGTGAATACGGGAAACGTTTAGACGATCTGTACCGCGTTTGGTAAATACTGCATGCATGATGTTAAAATCGATAGCCGATAAGTTATTTATTATCGATAATATATACACGTATATATATTTTTACGCGAGGCATAAAATAATAAATCTCTAATTTCATGACGTGTCAATTTACTATCAAATGGAAAAGTACATGAAAACAAACTTTTAAGTTTAATTTATATATTTCATCTTTTTCTAAATCTTAAAATTGAAAAAAGTAATGCTATGTCAGGATTAAAAATTAATTCTGTATAAATAAAAAAAAATGGATATTAAAGATGAGTCCGACCAAACTCCAATTAATTTAATCGGAAGCAGGATTGCTTCTGCAAAATTGACGAATTCTATATAATATTGTGCCTATAATTTAATCTTTCGTCTTTTTACGGGGACGACAGGAGATAAATAATTCGTGAAATCGTATATCTAGATAATATTGCTCGGCAAGTTAATCGGCAATTAATCAGAATTTGACTGCGACGTCAAATTAAGACCATCTATTAAACACAATTGGTAGGATTATGATTATTGCGCGCCGTCGAATTATCAGATATCCATTATCGAATCCGGAAACAGTCGGTAATTTACGGACTAATTAGGCATATAATCACCCGTTCCATCTCCGCGAGATTTATAATTGCGAAACTTCGATTTTTTTTTTTGCATCCCCGCACGTCGCGGAACGGGGGCTCTTTCGAAACGGGCCTTTAGCCGCCAGGCCAGGCGAAAGGCGAAGTTCGCCGCAGTCAAAGGGAAGCGGGGCCGAGCCGAGAGCGGCCGCACGTGCGCGCGCAGTCGCGGCGGCGCATTATAAATACAACTACTTAAGCTCTCGCACGAGCCGAGTGAAGTTGTCGGCGGAGTCACAGTGGTCGTATGATGGCGCAGTATGTCGGCCGTACGCGATTTGCGCCGGCGACGATTCTTTTGCTGTTTGTTTTTGTGTGCGTCGCCCAGCTAGCGAATGCCGGCGCGTCGACCTCGACATCGTCGGCGACGGCGGCGGTGACGGTGACGGTGACGGGGACGGGGACGGGTGCAGTGACGGCGGTCGACGACGACGGCGACGACGACGACGACGACGTTCGGCCGCGCGTGCTCCAGATTGCGGTGAACTCGGTGGCGGTCGTCCCGTTGTCGCCGCTGCCACCCGGTGCCAATCCCGCCGGCGACAATCGTCGTCGAGTCCCTCACGTCGAGTTCCTGGGCGCCGGCCTCGGTCGCGATCTCGCGCCACGATGGTCGCCGTCGAGCCGCGATTGCCCGCGGGACGCGGGCAACACTTTGGACGCGGTGTGGACGTCGTCGGCTGGCGACCGCGCGGTCTACAGATTCCGGACTGTTCCGGACGCGAAGATTGCCGACGTCTATTTTTGCCTGAGAAACGGCAGCGACGAAAAATGGAGCAACCTCGGCGATCGCATCTCGATCAAGTGCCCGGTACAATCGGAGTAAGTAACCTCTTTTGACAGTCCCCCTTTCTATTCTAAATACATAAGTCTGCGTCTTTTGCTCATTCTCGTTTTTCTCGTCCTTAATTTCTTCATCTTCTTCTGTATCTTCTTTATTTTTAGTTTTTCCTCTCTTTCATATTTATCTTTTTTTATTTCATCTTCATCTTTATCTTTTTATTATTCGTTATCTTTATTTTCTTGTTCTTTCCCTCTTTATCCTCCTTTGTTTCATCATCTTTAATTTTTCCTTCATTTTCTTTTATCATTTACTTTTGTTAGCTTCTCTATCTATTTTATCTTTATTTTTTTTCTTTATCTACTTAATTTTCTCTTCTTTGTTTTTATCTCCCTTGTCATTATCTTTATCTTATTTTTTGCACATTTATTCCTTATTCCTTTTCCTCTTCCTCTTCTTCTCCACTTACCATGCATAAATCTGTTGTTCTGTTGATTTTTTCTAGACTGTGCATTCTTCGTTAAGTTCTTCGGTTTGATTTTTACCTCCTTTCCTTATCACTTCCAGCGAGTCAGCGGAAGTGATTCCCGAAAAAACCGATGTGCTAGTGAGGATCAAATAATTGTCTAAATTAATCACCGAGGAAATATGACTAAGAGCGTCTAAAAACAGACATGAAGTAATAGAAAGTATATAAGTACTTCGCGCTGGACGCTAATATTTCAGCAGAGATATTAAAAGCCTTGGGGAAACTCTTCTCGTAATTAAGTCAGTTATTGCAAACTCGATGCATCGAATTGCGCAGTTTTCAAATGATTCTAAATACAAGGAGAAATCAGGGAGTTAAGTGAGTTTATTTACTTATTCCTTATTCGTATTGTACAATGCACACATTAGCAAAATATATACAAAATTCTTTCTCACTGTAATCGCCCAGCTTCGCGGACACATTTTGTGTATATCAACGGTCCATAAAATTTCATTTCGTTTCTGCGAAAAAGGTTTTTTTGGCCACCGTCGCGGGGAACTACTACGACGACTGAAATTTGAACTTCTATATCCAGCCGAAACATTCCTGACCTTGCTCCTTCGGATTTCCGTTTGTTTGGACCGTTTAAAGGAAGCTGCTCGCGGGATTAACATTCGCACCTAGGCGAGAATATTAAGGAAGCGGTGCGTACGTGACTTCGAGGGCAGCCTTCAAATACCGAAAACCTTCTTCTCGGAATCAAAAGACTCGTGGGCCGTTACACAAGATGCGTAGCAAAGCTGGGCGATTGCATCGAGAGATAGTTCTGTGTATGTTTTCATATATGGTAATGTTGGTAAACGAGTTTGCTAACGTACGTACACGAGGATAAAATAACATATAAATTCACTTTACTTTCCGATTATTCCTCGTGCACATCGTTAAATTATAAAAAGTACATAAAACTGTAAAGTATACGGTATTTACATTTCACTTGATTGTCGATCTCTTATGTAATATCCACGCCTCAAGGTGTTGTCACGTTCCATTTATAATTTTTTTCCATTTCTCAGAAACGGATTTTTGAACGGCCGCCAATTCTAACTCTTCCATACGGCGTTTCCGTCTATTTAAAATCTTATGGAACTCTCCGTCCACACTTGGCCACGCTCGAAATATTGGGTTACTTTCTAAAAACACGGAGACGCATATAGGGGAGAGACATCCTAAACTGTTCTGCGAACAGATAAACTCTCGTCTCTCTCCACCCCGTCGATCTCTAATCGCGCCTCTAATCGGGCGCAAGAATGAAAGCGATACATATACAAAATGATACGTATACGCCGGGAATTATCTCCGTTCCCACGAATATTAGCGACGCTGATTTACGAGAAGGCGAATGACTTTGTACAGCACATGCGGACCGTTTAAGTTTTCAATAAATCATCCGTTTCATTGCCTTCCCTTCAGCCTGACTGTTTACCCGTTCATCATCAGACGCGTATTGCAGGCAGGGCGAGGGGCGGGCAGAAAAGTTAAACGTGTCGGATTAGGTAATAGAAGACGATGTCGCGCACGACGGTGCGACGTTATAGGGCGTTATATATTATCGCTCCGTCCGGCGTGGAATGCGCAACTTTAGACGCGCGTACATTTGGGCACGCCGAGGAATTCGTCTCTAACGGCGAGGCGCGACCGCGCGCACGAAGCGATAACCGCATGCTATCCGGACGTTAAGCCTTACCATTGACCACACCTCCCTCTCTTTCTCACTCTCTCTCTCTCTCTCTCTCTCTCTCTCTCTCTCTCTCTCTCTCTCTCTCTCTCTCTCTCTCTTTCTCTCTCTCGCGCTGGCGACGATCCAATACAGCCCGCGATTCAATACTCAAACTTGGCCCCCGTTTAATGAATAAAAATAGAAATTGGTGTGCGAGTGCGACCCATATCTCCGCGCCGCTTCCCGATTAACTCGTCGCACGCGCGACGCGCCGTTCACGCGCGGCTACACGCCGCGTGGACACCGCGTCGTTTTGTTGCAATCCAAAGGTTTTTCCGCCCAACAAGAAAGAACCGAATAAGTTTATTAAAAAAAAAAGAATCATATTTGTGCAATGAAGAATTTTGAAGACGAGTCTTTTTTTTTTATTGTTTCCTGAAAATTTCACTTTCGGACTTGTCTCGTTCTTGTGGACGCCGCTTCATCGAGCCGAAAGAATGGCGATGTTAAAATAATCGACCTTTCACTGCGTGATTTACGGAAAAGGTCGCCTCTGCAAAATCTTCCTTGCTAAAACAGGCGCGCTCGAGAGCTCCACCTTCGTGATTTGTGTAATGATTTTTTTCCAGAGAGAATTATCTCCGTAAGGAGTATAATCGTTCTTGGAACGTGACACAGAGGCGTTTTCTTATTTATGTGTTAGCACTCGATATTTTACAAAAGCCAGGTCGTGCACGCGATATCTGGAAGAGAGAGAGAGAGAGAGAGAGAGAGAGAGAGAGAGAGAGAGAGAGAGATTAAAACGGCTTACGCGAGACAAGTATATTTATGCTTTTATAGTGACGTAGTTTTTTATGTTTATCGAGCCACCTGAAATATCATTATATCGATCTCAATATCTTAAGGCGACCATCTGAAATATCATTATATCGATCTCAATATCTTAAGGCGACCGTCTGAAATATCATTATATCGATCTCAATATCTTAAGGCGACCGTCTGAAATATCATTATATCGATCTCAATATCTTAAGGCGACCATCTGAAATATCATTATCTCGGTATATCAAGGCGATAGCCTTATTTATGAAAGGGCTCTCGTGACTCTCATTCTCCCCACGATTCATTCTGCAGATTAACGAGTTATATTGGTATCTCGGGGAATGTGTACGAGTGCCTTGATAACGCTTTATGTGTCACTCGACATTAGCTGGTTTATCGACCAACTATTTTTTCGCGAGATGCGTCTGCGGCTTTAAAATGTCGCGACCAGCAATAACGTCAGCGGATGCGCAAGTGCAACAAAATGTGCGCGCGGGAGATGAATGCAAATTGATTTTGAAACTCTGCGAATTTATGTATTTCAGAAAGTACTCTCGTGCGCGGCGCGACGGCCCGTTCGACGACAATTCGAAAGTCGCCCCGGACAACACGGGCGTACATATCGAAGGGCTGCGAATAGACACGGCCGACAAGGAGCCCAGTCACGACGAGCGGGGTATCCCGCGGATTCTCGCCGGGACCAGGGCGGTAATCCGTTTGTTCGGCACCGGTTTCACGAAGGACACTTTGATCACCTTCACCGACGTGCCGGCGAAAAGGGGCGTCGTGTGCGACAAAATCAAGAGCGACGAGTTTCTGGTGAGTATAGTGTCGCACCGCGGAGACAGAAAAACGTTGCATGCGCGGACAAAAAAAGATAAGGGAAAAAATTACAAATGGTACTCCACTCGATATTCCAGGTGGAAAACGTGGAGAAGACTACGGCGACCATTCGCGTAGTACTCCCCCTGGGATCGTTGCCGTTTTACGTATGCGCAAAACAGCCGTTGTACGAAAAAGAGAAATTCGGGAAGGACGAGAAGGACGTGCTGTTCAAGCACCAGGGCACCGCGCTGTACAACGCTGTGAGCACACCCCTTCCCCCTCTGTCTCTCCCCTTCTTATTCGCGATTCGCGATTTTTATCTAGATAAATATAAAAAAAAATAACGAGTAACAACTAATGCAAAAATTCTTGTTACTCAAGAGTAGAAACAATTATTTATAGTTCGGACTTTCAGATCAGCACATATGAGAAATTTCTACCGCTCTGGCTCACTATCTTGATCATTCTCGTTTGTCTCAGTTTGTCCGCACTTTTCTCCGGTCTCAATCTCGGTTTAATGGCGATAGATAGGACCGAATTGAAAATACTCGTCAACACCGGTAGGGAAAAGGTAAGCTGAGAGCGAGAGAGAGAGAGCTGCTCGGAGGAAACTCCCGTTTCTCTTTTGTGCGTTCCCAACCCCCCTGCGTTTTAGTTTCCCTTCTGCCACTTACGTTGCCGTTTTACTTCTGCGTTGTAGGAGAGAAAATATGCGAGAACTATTCAGCCAGTAAGAAATCACGGAAATTACCTTTTATGTTCGATTCTGTTTTCCAATGTTCTTGTCAATTCGATATTCACGATATTGCTGGATGAGTTGACATCCGGGATTGTCGCTGTTATCTGCTCGACATTAGCTATTGTCATTTTCGGCGAAATCTCGCCGCAGGTACGTTTTTTCCGTAATCACGCGAATGCTTGTTTTCCGTAGCATTTACACGAACATTCCTCGATTTTCGAAGGTTGAGAAGGTACGATTTATCATATGTGTACTTTTTGTAGGCCATTTGTAGCAGGCACGGATTGTGTGTCGGCGCAAAGACTATCTATCTGACTAAATTGACAATGCTAATTACTTTTCCGTTAAGTTATCCAATCAGCAAGTTGCTCGATTCCATTCTCGGTGAAGAAATCGGGAATGTGTATAATCGAGAACGCTTGAAAGAGCTGATCAAGGTAAGAAATTAAATGACTGTATAATAATTAATTATCTAAATTAGAATTAGAATTTTATCTTGCGGTATCGTCACAAGAAGGTAGCTTGTAGTGTCGCACCGGTTGCCATTAATATAATTAATGCGGTATCTTTGTGTGATTAATTACATTACATTAATTAATTGGCCGAGTTTATTACCTGTAACATTTGTGCCGGGTAAATGCTTAGAATTTTGCGAGTATCTTGTATCTACGTGGACAAATTTCGTTAGAATTGCCTGAAATGCATGAAAACGTGAAATTGATATATTAATACTATACAGGAACCTTTCTAGGTAACGAGCACCGATTTAGAGAAAGATGAAGTAAATATAATTGCAGGAGCGTTAGAACTGCGGAAGAAGACCGTAGTGGATGTTATGACGAGAATCGAAGATGTATACATGTTGAACTATAACGCTATTCTAGACTTTGAAACCGTGTCTGAGATTATGAAATCAGGTACGAGATTGACGCTTCTCGAAAATTGTAATGACGTCCGCATATTCCTTTGTATATTAATTGAATGCTAAATATTATCAGTTTAATCAAGCACTCATTAAAGATAAATCTTTATAAACATTTAGTTCTATCAAGTCCTGATAATAATTTAACAATGATGTCTAATAATTATTTAATAATGAGCGAATGTCGATTTTTTTTCTGTCAACTTTAGCCTGTAGAATTAAATTGTGTGTTTTATTTCTAGGGTTCTCACGTATACCGGTGTACGAAGATGTAAGAACGAACATAGTAACGATGCTGTATATCAAAGATCTTGCTTTTGTCGATCCCGACGATAACATGCCTCTCAAAACGCTATGCCAGTTTTATCAAAATCCGTGTAATTTTATTTTTGAGGATGTTACGTTGGACATAATGTTCAAACAATTCAAGGAAGGTCCGTATAATGCAACTCTCTTCTCGAACCTTTCTCTCTTTCATTAAAACACATTTAATGAGAATAACGAGTAATAATCGTGCGTGTATTTTCAGGTCACAAAGGTCACATGGCTTTTGTGCAAAGAGTTAACAACGAAGGCGAGGGCGATCCGTTTTACGAGGTGATCGGTTTGATAACGTTGGAAGATGTTATTGAGGAATTGATTCAGGCTGAGATTATTGACGAGACAGATGTGTTTAGTAGGTTTTTTTTTGCTCTATCGCTTCGTCGCGCTTGCCGCGAAGTTCCCCCGCAATTGGAGACTCTTTCGAGTTTACGTGCAAATTCCGTTTACAGTCAAAAATTCCCTGTGAGTCACTTGAATGATCGCTAATAAATCTCTTGCAGCGGATAACAGAAGTAAGCGTAAAAGGCAGGTTCGTTCGAAGATGCCGACGGACTTCACTATATTCGCGGAGAAAAAGGAAAACCAGCGGATTCACATCTCGCCACAATTGACGCTGGCGATGTTCCAGTACTTATCAACAAGTAAGGAGGCAATATCGAACGGATTGTGCAAAACAGTTTACATATATACCTTACGATGTTTGACTTGCAATTATATCGCGTGCGATATTTCCAGCTGTGGACACGTTTAAATCCGACGTTATATCGGAGACGATTCTGCGACGTTTACTGAAGCAAGATATTATTTATCACGTTAAAGTGAAGTCGCGTGAGAAAGCTAAAGCCGATCCGGCCGCGATAATTTATCAGCAGGGAAAAGCGGTCGATTATTTCGTGCTAATTTTAGAGGGTCGCGTTGAAGTGACGGTCGGAAAGGAGAACATGATGTTCGAGAGCGGCCCTTTCACGTATTTCGGCTCGCAGGCTCTCACCGCCAACATCGGAATCGGTAAGAATACCGGGACGCATATTTGATATTTTCAAAAACGGGGCTTCGCTTGAACGATCCGCTCTTTCGTTTGCCAGCCGAGTCGCCCACGAACGCGAACCCGCAGACGGTCGGGAGCATTCAGTCGGTCAATTTGGATTCTATGCTGCGTCACACCTTCATACCGGACTACACGGTGCGCGCGGTGACCGAGGTATTCTACGTGAAAGTCAAGAGATCCCTGTACCTCGCCGCGAAGCGCGCCACCCTCCTGGAGAGAAGCCAAAAGGATCCGCTGCCTAGTCAGGAACAGTTCGACGATGAAGTGGAGAAGGTTGTGCAATAAAATTTATTGAATATTTATTGATTTATTGAATAAATCATGAGCTGCTGTAAAAGCTGAAATTTTCCAAGTCAATCTTTAAATGTAATGACCGACCACCGATCTTGTCACTCTGCAGTTGCTGCATTCACTGGAGGAGGACGATCGCAGTGTACCTGAATCTCCGATATTGCCCGCGGACAGACTGACGGACAGCGAGCGGGGAAAGGACGCCGTCACTCACTCGCCCATACGCAGCGTCACGGCGCCGACGTCGCCGCTTCCGGTCAGCGCCAGTCCGATCACGAATTCGAAGTTCATCTCGCCGCGGAACGATGGAAAAATCAGGAATTCAACAGCGAAGGTTTCTTACATGTCTTAACCCTCGCGACAAGATTAGGCTAACGCGAGATTTATTTCCTCTCGACTTTTCTGACATGTCGAATTGTATTGCATTCCAGGTACAAACGAGCCCAGTGGAGATGCAACTTAAACGCGACTCGTTGAGCGCGCTCGATGCGGACGTTCTCGCACGGCAGTCCGAGATGGCACGAATGTCGCCCGCCATGAAGAAGCTGAGCGGCGACGAGGAACGAACAAATCTCTTGCCTAAACAGGATAACTCTTAACGCTTGCAGAACGGCCGACGGCACTCGCTGCTGTCGGCGAGGTCGGTGACGTTGAGAGCATCGAGCAACACAGAGCGGAACATGCTGGCATGACACATTTTGCTACTGTGACACTAGGTATCCCCACGAGAGTTACTTAGGTATTTATCACGAGAGAGGCACCTCATATTTTTAACGATTGGCTTAGAGGCTGTACCCGACCTCGAGTTTCGTTAATTACTATTAAGTTTCATCAGAAAAGTCATTTTATATCGATAGTTTGCATGAAGAGAATAGAGTAATTGTTAATAGCATTTCATAGATGATAAATGATAAAATCAAGATATACTAGAGACTATCCGTTTGAAGCTTATCTAATTGCGCGTGAGAAAAAGAGAGACGGTGAGAGAGTTAGAATTTTTTTTAGTAGAATGTCGGTTTTTCATGTTGAAATAAAAATAGTTTTGCTTCCATTTACAATTAACAAACGTACATCAACGACTCGTCTGCCTTTTTTTTAGATATCTTTTTATATATTTCTAGATTTCACAGGGTGTGCGTCGTGCGTGATGTTCTGTCGTAAAACTCTTATTACGATTGTTTCAATGCGAGTGATATTGCGGGTACAGTTTTTAGCTAATTGAAAGAAAAGTGATAGGAACTACGCTGCAATAATACCTTGACGTTATTTTGAATATATTTTAGTACGAAAGGTTCATTATATAGAAGAGAACAAAAGTGAAATATATATGAAATCAGTCACACGGTCGAATACTATCACACAAATATATACAAATATATATATATATATATATATATATATATATATATGTATATATATATATATATATTTTTTAGAAAACAGTACAAATGAACAGAGAAAAAGTTTGAAGAAGATTTACGTTGTTCGAAGGTCACTTCCCCAGGCGAGTTTAAGTTACGTCTCTTTTTTGAGTTGTTTATGCGAATCTAAACATACACGATAAGTTTGAAATGGCCCAATTAGTGCGTAGCAGCGAGGTAGCAATGACTTGGTACATAATTGATATAATTACGCGTACTTTTTATTACGTGCCTTAAGATATCCTCTACATTAAGTATTACCGTTGTGTGCTTGAGCCGATTTTACTAGGGGTACTATTCCTTACCGCTTTTTTCATTCTCTTAAGACACCGAGGGTCTTGTCGATACGTTAGTTCACATTCCTGTTCATAACCGGTGCAGTCACGTACTTATATATATCACTTTTTCTTGCATTCATTATTATAACGAAAGTATGTTGAGATAAGTGCAGGGGACAAGTACTGTTTTTCTTACCGATACACCGTTAAGATAAAGAAACGACGAAGTTTCGAGCTCTTTTTTTTCGCTTGATTTGCATTTGAGCTTTTCTTAGCAAAACAATTTAATCGAATTTCCGATTAGCAGAACCACATGTAACATTGTAATTAAAACTTACAAAAATTGTACTTGTATCATACAAATGTAAATAGAAAGCGGGATTGTTCTTCTCTTCGTAAACTTTAAATAACTTTCCTCTATTAGGTACTTAAATTGTGAATTGACGACTGATTGTTTTACTGTCTTAAAGTGATATTTTATTACTTGTGAAAATTAAAGATTAAATGTTTGCTAAAGAACTGTTTACTTTAGGAATAGAATTTTTCTAGTGTAGCGTACACTTTTTTTTTTAGAACTTTCGTATGTGTGAAATCTAAAATATATATATATATGTAAAAGTTGCTTTTTATTATACAATTGCGTATCTTTATGTCACAATTTCAGAAGCGAATGCCTATATAGTTATTGTGAAACTTTTTTTTTCACTCCGTAATATTGTTAATACCTATTCGGGAATCTAATTTACTTAAACTGTTGTTCTTTGTTTTATATGTCGCGAGGCGAATGTATAATACATATAATTTATACTGTTGTTGATTGAGTACTTATATATGCATTAAATACATCGATGCGATGTACAACTACACTGTAATTGTTAGGCATTGAAGCGTTGAAAAGCGAGTCTTTCTACATGTATCTGCACGAGGTGATCCTACAATTAGCAGGACCTGAGAGATACACGGTAGAAATAAAATGAAATGTAAAAAAAAGGCAGAAGCCAGTTTGAAGTACGTCTGCACAGTCTAACTGCTAATCGTGGGTCGCCTCTATATGGAAATATTTTACGCGCAACATCTGGTCTTGTGGATTCTGTATCGAATGTGTCGAGCTAGGAAATGGTTACCTGACATTGTTCTCTCCCTAGATTAATGATCGAAGTACTTACGAGAAGAAAAAAAAAGGGGGGGAAAAATCGATAAGAGAATTGCGATGAATTATTAATATTTTGTACTATCTGAGTCTAAACTGAAATATTATGTGTAGAGAAGAAATATATTACACCTGATATGAAAAAAAGCAGCATTCTATTGCAAATAGGTCTAGATTACTATAAACTGTTGTATAGATGAAGTTACAGCGTGGAAGATAAAATATTAAAAAAAAAAAAAAACGTGACATTTTTTACAGAGATGATTTACACGGTATATGTAATATAAATGAATGTCGTGTTAATATGTATGCTCTTCATTTCACATCTATATTTATTGAGACTTGTCATGTCTATGCGCATCTTTAAAGAACGAATTTATAATCATTATTTAGTAAGTTTGTTACTTACTGCCATATGTTTAGTGTGCTACGATCGTTGAGCCCCTCTTCCGTATTTAGCGTATATTCGTTTCCAAATAACAAAGCATGAAAATTTATTGCCTCCAGTTACTAGCATGCTAAAGATTAATTACAATTACATGTGTATTACAATATACTCCAGAAATATCAAAGCTAGCAAGCAGAGCGAAAAAGTTAAAGGGGCGAGAGGAGGAATTCTTGTGAGAGAAATGTAATGTTTCGAAATAACAAAGAGAGCCGATCTGACATGTGACAAAGTTTTATATGAAAGAATATTTATCACAAATAAATACAATGTTCTTCCTTAGATTATATTATCTTTATAAAATGTCTAGAAATTAGAAATATCACATCTGTCATAGACTTATATCGTTTGTACCGATTCTCTCTTCGCGTTCTCATTTTTCCGACATTTTCATTTTATATAAGAATTATAATATATAATTTCCAACAACTCTCTTTCTGTACATATACATAATTTTCTGTACCATAATTATGTAATTGTATAAAATATAGATGCTGTGTATACAAAATCTCTTTCTGAAATGCAAAGACATAGGATATATATTTAAAAGATATATATATATATTTATCATATAACAAATATAAAATCTTTATCACATACGAATCAATAATATATATTAAATTAAAAGAGAATAATATAACAAAGTTGGCACTAAAGTTCTAATCTAATCATACTGGAACTAGACAGCCTGTTTTCTAATACAGCAATAAAAAACGAATGGAATTCTCTCTTTTGAATATCTTAAACATTAAAATGTATCAAACTTAAATGGATGGCTAGCTCATTTAAATACCGTTATACCTGCGACAATTCCGTGCGTACAATCTTTTTGATCTCGCGTAATTTTGTCATGTTCAATTCGTTGTTCGCTATCGAATGCAGCAATGACGTTATTTTAGCGTTTATGAAGACAGACTTGTCTCTCCTCGGCCCCTTCTTCCTCTTGACATCCTGCAGCGGAGAGTTTACGAAATTCTGTATAAGGCACCACGGATGCCCCTCGTTCATCAACGTGATCAGATCCATACTGATGGACGAGGCACAGGATATCCGATTTTCATTGACGGGCATCTTCATCGCGAGCGCGTGACTGTCCGTGACTCTCTTCATGCAGAACGTGCTTCGGTTTTTGGAAGCAAGAGCGAACACCACGTAACTGTTCTTCGGCAGATTGTTCGGGATGCTTAAGCCGAGATAGCGATGCCTGCCCAGCCTGGACACCTCGATGTCAGGCCTCAACGCCAACTTTTGTCTGGCAGCGTACATGTTTATCCTCTTCAGCTTGTCCTGCTCGTCCGACAGGCTCTCGTAGAGCGCGTTCAGCTCCTTCACTTTGCTGCAAATCTTCTCCATGATAGTGTCCGTACGTTGAAACATTTCAGTACGGAGAACGATGTTGTTGTCGGTCGACATAGAGACGTCCAGCTCCTCGAGAGACAGCTGGACCAATTCCCTGCCTGGCGACAGACCGAGAATCACGTTCGGCTTGTAATACTGCACGCAGGTGAACGTCCTCGCCTCCACCCTCGCCTCCCGAACCGCCTCGACGAACAGCTCCTTCCTCAGGTAGTACAACTTGGACCGAGTGCAGCACACCAGCCACAGAGTGTTCTCGGCGTGCAGACTGAAACCGGCGCAGAGCGCCGTGCAGTCCCTCGCGTTCTCCCCGAGGTGTATCCTCTCGAACGTCAGTCTGTGTACCTCCGCGTGCCGCCCGTCGCCGCCGTCGTGCACCAGGATCACCACGTTCGCCTGCTCCGTGAGCAGCAGCAGACCCGCCACCTTCATGTCCCGCCGCTTCACCGGCAGGATGTCCACGACGGCGTTGTCGCTGGTGTGAATCAGCTGCACGGAGTCGCCCCTCAGCACGTACAGCTTCCTGTGGTAGGCGACGACGCAGAGATTGCCCTCGGTCGTCCAGCCGGCCGCGAGGCTGCTCACGAGCCGCGGCTCGGTGCACGCCGGGTTCAGCGGGTACGTGCACACCGCCGTCTCGCTCACGCCCGGCACGAGCGGGAACAGCAGCGCCGAGGACTTGTCCTGCTTGTTGTCGAGGTGGACGCAGCCGTTGCTCCGGGCGGTCAGCACCTGGTAGAACTCGCCGCCGATGTCCAGCGCGTTCTTGCTCAGCACCGCGAACTCGCGACACCGCGACACCTTGTACGCGCCCTGCGGCGAGCAGATCAGGAAGGCCCGGTCCTCGAAGAACTGCACCTTCCTGACGGGGACCGGCGTCGTCAGCACCCGCGCGTCCCGCGCCCCGTTCTCCGTGTACGGGAAGATCGCCAGCTGATCGGCGTTCCAGCAGAAGCACGTCTCCACGCCGTAGAAGTCGCGCACGGCGAAGTGCCTCGCCACGATTTCCTCGTTGCCGATCACGATGTACCGCTGCATCCTTCCGTCCGTTCCCCCCTCTCTCTCGCACATATCGCCGATCGAATTCACGAAGAAGCTACGATGAAAACAACATCGGAGCGAACGCGCGAGTTAACAGGAGCAAACAGGAGGACTAGTTAACCTCGAAATGATCTTGGAGACTTTACGTGACAGAAAGTCTGAAGCTCCGGAAATTGCCGCACGCGGTTGAACAAATCAGAGGCGATCCATTTTACGGGCGCTCACTTTAAAGTGAAATTTGATTGTAGGAAACGAAAATGTGTGAGTTATGTAAAATTCAAGGTAGATATATTTAACGAAATGAAAATCTTAAAACAAAATACAGGAATAAATAAAATAATGTTGTACTGCGGCTGAATGTTATTTTTGCAGCTTTATATTAAAATGAAATTAAATGAATGCAGCAATAACGACGGATAATTATTAAAGAAAAATAGTTTAGGATAACTTGTTGACACAAAATAGTGACTAACACACGCTGCGCATCTGCGGATATATGGAGCACTCAGCGCTGCTCGTGACAGTGGCGCGGCGGTAGTGTCGACCGTCCGCCTGCGACGGGAGGGGGGAGTGAATGGGGGTGCAATTTTGGCGCGCACGAACGTGGCGTGTGCGCCGACTTGAAAAATGCCGATTTGTTGACTTAAAAGTCGCTCGCGCTTCTCACGCGACTGCACGGTATCGACGGTCGTTCTACATGGATGTTATCCGCGGCAGCGATCATGTGTAAGTACCCGCGCGCGGGCCCGGGTCTCCCCGAATTCCGGGACCCTCGGAGGTTATGCCGCACAGTGTGTGCGCGATGACCGTTTACATTTGATTTGAAATGTCGCAGCGTCGATGGTGCTCGTCAAGCGTCAGTTGTCCAAGGTGATAAGGAGGTTCAAGTTCGAGGAACTGGAGAGCGCCGTGGTGCCCGTCTTCCCGGAGGTCTCCTGGGCGCGCGTCAGATCTAAATTGGTCAAGAATCACAAGAGTTTCACGGTGGCCAACGCGCTGCGCGTCATCGAGGACGTTCTCGACGTAAGAATCGCCGCCCCGTATTTCGCCTGAAATTTACACATTTTTTTAGACGGTGTCATCCTTACGTCTGGTTTAATTGCAGAACGCGAATTTACGGGAGAAGGAACTGCGCGACAGATTGACAACGCTGGAGGTGATAGGTAAAAACAGCCGACACAAATGTTATATAAATTCAAAATTCTAATTGTAAGCCCGATTAAAAATTTGTGTCAAATATTAGTCGTCGACTCACGAAACGACGATCTTTCAGACGTAAGCAGACACGACGAGAGAAAAGTGTGGTATGGATACGAATTGACAGGTTCGAACGGGACGTCGAGGCATGTCGAAATGCAGGAGATGCAGGAAGGCATCAGAGAGGAATTTCATTCGAGTGGCCTGGACATGAGCGTGAAAACTGTAATGCACAACAACGTCACGTTTATATGCGTTCGAGAGAAGGAGAAGAAGAAGAAGAAGAGTGAGCGATCCACCATGCCGACCTTCTTTGCCGTGTTCTTGGGACACAAGTATTTTTTCTGCTCGAAGAAGACTGTGCCCCTTCACTATGTGAAAGTGATGGCCATCAGTCTGGGCTACAGCAACAGCAGGAGGATCAGGCTGATGGGCAAGAACCTCAGATCTCTGATAAAACTATTGTGGTTTAAGCAGCAAGGCGCCTTGCACGCCGAAGATATTGGTCGACCACCAGTTTACCAACCGTCTAATCCTACCGTCAGGTAAGAAAGTGCGTCTTTTTCTATTTGAAATATAATTGGTTATAAAGGTTAGTGTGAGTGCGATGCGATACTTTGTACCCAAGTCTTCATGTATATTTCATATTTAAGTTAAATGGTAAGATCAAGATTGAAATTTTGGCTACATTCGAAATATGCTCAACGAAAATTCTTTTAATGGTAAGATCAAGATTGAAATTTTGGCTACATTCGAAATATGTCCAACGAAAATTCATTTAATCTGTTCTTGGATTAAAATAGAATCATAATTCAGAGATTTGATTGTTGTGTATCGCACAACTCGATGAGAATTACGAAAGTGAGCAAATTCACTAAATGTTGACCAATGAAATTATAAATATTCTAGCAAATTTGCTCTCATTTTTGTAATTTTCATTAAGTTGTGCGATTAGATCTCAGACACCATTCTTTCAAATTCTTGATCTTTAAAAATCTCTACTTGTTTTTATACATACATTTGACGCTCAAGGTACTATGAGACATCTTATTGGATTCAATGCATTGTTTTGTACATTGTATAACGTGCAAACTTTTTCGTTACAGTAATAACGGCGTGGATTACACGCAGCGCAAGCAACGAAAAAAATACGCGGAACAGTGTTTCAGCAAGGATCCTCCGATTCTGGAGAAACTCGTTATAACGGGGCCAGAGGAATCTATAAAACACGACGCTGTGGCTTCGAAGTTACCTGCCGATAGCTTGCGTATAAAGTAAAAACAGTTTTTTTTTTTTACGTTTATCCTCGAGGTCACACAGGATTTGTACATTCTCATTTGAAATTTCGTTTCTGTTTCAGCTGGGAATTCCATAGTCGCAACTTAGCCAGGTTTTTAACTGTTTTAATCGAAAGACGTGCGTTCACGCTGCCGTTACCCGAGTACGTGTCCAATCTCATGACACTGGGGAAAAACGTATTGACACTTCAGACTAACGACCGGTAACTCGGTCGTAAATTACGAATTTCTTATGGCGACAAAAGCTGAGAATTCACGATGCCCGCATATTGTTTTATATCAGTTATAAAAAGAATATTAGATATTAATTTTATACAATAACGATGTGCGATGTCGCGCTGAATATAATTAAATAATCGATAACTGTGTACAAAGGGTAAAATGAGATTATACATAGGTTGATTGGAATTGTACATAAATGTTATCGACGTAATATAACTGGATTATTTATGATTTCGTGTAAACATACATTGTAAAAAATAACGGTGAAGTGTGAGAGAGAAATTAACTGTTAAATCAGCCCCTCAGGCTCGAACTGGTGAAAGAGACAGGCCAGAGGCAGAGAGTGCAGAACACTGTATTAAATTTATTACATAACTTTGTTACATAGAAATGCCACTGAAAGCGTCTGTTACATTAATAAAGTACGTTTATTAAAAGTTTATTCAAATGTGTGTGTAATGGTGTTTACAATCCTACGTGCTACGTTTTACTGCTTTACATAAAAATTCACTTAGCGTATGATAGTCGAGTAAAGCGTAAATCGGGATATCCATTAGGTAGAGTTGTTGACAAGGGGCTTTGATATAATTCGATATATATATATATATATATATATATATATATATATATATTTGTTTACTTATGAAAATTATATCACTGTTCCTTGTGCGTCTTCGGCCACAGCACTCACAAGTCCTCGTCGGACTCCTCCTCCGATTCGGACGTCACGTCGGGATCGTTCGCCTGCGCCCGGCACTTGTCGCAGTGACAGATAAACAGATACAGGGAGCTTAGCGCCTGCTGCCTGGAATGTCTGCTCCTCTCGAGCTGGCACTCGTCAAGGTAGCTCGTGCAGATCTCCTCGCCGACCTTTATATCCCGCACCGCCTTCAGCACCAAAGTGTTGTTCGAATAAGGGAACTCGACGATCGCATTCGGCACGCAACTGTGGTTCACCGACGACTGCAGAACGTAGAGCCCGGATCCTTCGTTATTCAGAAACGGACCCACCGCTGCGGAAGGAAGTGTCGGATGTTACGTAAATATTTGTTCGAACGCGACATTCGAGGAGAAGTAAATCATAAAGACAGGATAAAATTACCCTCGTCCATGGCGTCATAAATTTTCTCTATCAACTTGTCGACGTAAATCCTTTCGTCCTTGGGCAATTCTAAAGCGGAAACGTTCTTCACCCAGCGGCTGAATGAACTGGTACCGATCCCCTGTCCGTTCGTTCCTACTAAAGCTAAGAGACTTCTGAAACCGTCCGGCGTGAACCACTGAAAGTAACGATGCCAATTAATATTAATTACGTACGATGACAATGATCCATGTATGTATATGTTACACACGTGTGCGGTATACTCAGTGTTAAAAGCGTCCTTCATCATCTGCTGAAGAACGTCAATCTGTCCCGCGAACTTCTCCCCCAACAGGTGGTGCACAATCTCGTGCGTGTTGTTGGAGACGGTACGATGGCAAAACTGCGAGAACATCGCCAGAGCTTCCTCCCGGTCGTTCGCTTGGTTAACTACGGCGACCATCCTCGCTAGCAGCATGATGGACGCATTTTCAGGTGGATAATGCATTTGCTTCCACGTTTCGCACAATTGATTCAGAGGATGGCTCTCGTCCTTGACTCTGTCCTGTAGGCACAGCGTGCTATGATACCTGAAAAAGGGTAAATAAACAAGTACATTAGTGCAACACATTCTTAATGACACATTAGGTTGCAGCGAATATAAAAGTTCGACTGTAATTACAAATCAATAGCCAGTACAAATCTGGAGTTATGTGTGTGATTAATCCAATTTTATGTAGATTATTAAAAAAATGTAGATATTAAATATTAAATATATCTTTATATATTTAAATTTAAACATTAAATATATATAAATATTAATATGTATGTATAAAACATAAAATATATAAATATATATAAATTTTATGTAACTTCTAAAAATTCCTTTCAATAGGCCTATTTCTGAATAATAAAGGGTCTCTAATTCAAATAATTATATTTATAATTGGTTGCAAATTTCAAAATCGATTTCGATCTCTACTGAGATCCCCTTTAATTGATGACTTTTGACAGACATTAAAACCCATCACAGATTTGGTCATTGATTTGCGACTACAGTTTAATGTGAATTTAACTCGCAATACATTAACAAGTCAAACAAATTAATCGTATCGTAAAACTCATTGTCAGTAGATCACCTCTGAAACGCCTCGTTCTGACACTCCACGCTGCAGTACTTGACCCCGCACATGGGGCATGCGGTTATCAGGCTCTTGTTTACTTCGCAGCACTCCTTGTGCGGCACGACGAATCTCTGATCGCCCGTCAGCCTGCGGACGTTCTCCTCCGCCGTCTCCAGCGGCCTCATGCAGTGATTGCACGCCAGGTAGCCGAACTCGGAGTTCCACAGGAACTGACAGCACACCACGGGCCTCTCCTCGAGTATCACGTCGCCCTCCTTATACGCGCGATTGGCGAACAGCCCTTTGCCCTGCGAGGCGAATACGCGAAATTAATAATCCATCCGGAGGGGACAGAATCTCTCTCTCTCTGTCGGGGATTGTCGTAGAGGAAGGGATCACGGAGATGACGTGCGAACGTAGGCGAGAAGAAGTACGCGGCTCACCTTCTCGTCGTCCACCACCTTGATGTAGAAGCCCTTGTCCGCCATAACCTCGTCGTCGATCATACCGTATGCGAGAGCTACACCGGGCGGGGAGAAAAAAACAATCCGCCGTGAGACCCATTCAAAACCTAACCCCACACTACCCAGGCGATTCAACGACCGCCGTGAAAGCTGTCATCACGGATGAGCGCACCGCTCGAGTCAAATCACCCGCTCGCTCGCGCCGCCGCGAGTAGTTATCTCCCTCTCTCGTTCGCGTTTTTTTGCGCGAACGAGGGATGTTAATAAACATCTGGAGAAATATGTAGGAATAAAAAATTTCACTTGGCGAAGCGGTGGCCACGACAGACCACGAACGGACGCTCAACGGGGAGGCAGCGCGGCGCGACTTCCGGCGCGCGGTACTTCCGCAAAGAAGAGGCGCAGAGCGTGCGTGCCGCTGCGAGTGACTCGTCGCGCGTTTTGTGACTTCGTCAAGGAAGAGATCCTCGGCAGAGATTCCCAGGCCATCCTCCCCGGAGCGATCCTCGAGGAACGATGAACGGAACGATGGCCATGGTGAGAGCGAGTCCCTACCGCGCTCGGAGAGCCCTCGGAGAGAGCGCTGCCCTCCGCCGTGATGGCCCATCGGTTAACCCTTTGGCGGCGTAATGGCGATCGCGCGGGGTCCCGCGCGTTCCCCGGACGCGGCACGCCGAACACGTCGGCCTCGACGACCCTCTCGCGCGGCCGCGCGGCATCCAACGACCGCGGCTACGATTCGAGAGAGCCGCGTCCGGATGGACAGATCTGTTGAAAACGAATTTTGCAATGTTTATTGTAAATTTTATTTCGCGTCGGCAGTATGCCAACATAAATAACCAGGCAGAATAATCCGTTGGCAGAACAGAACGGCAGATTGACTGCGAGAACCAAGTTGAATCTGCTATTGTGTAATCATTGAGTAAATTGCAAAATTGTATTTTTGCAAATAACATTCCTTATTCAAATAATTATAAAATTCGGCAGATTCGGCTTGATCTCCGCTGGTGGTCTGCTGATGGAATACAAGTTTAGTGCATTGACACAATTGGTGTCAATTTATCATAACATTTTGTTCAAATCTGTTGTCAAACTGTTAACAGGATCCATTTGACATTGCAAATGTTTCAACAAAGTACATATTTGATTAATTAGAAGATAGAATTTTACTTTAATTTTACTTTACTAATTGGCCAATCAAAAAGTGCTTCGAAGCATTTGTACCATCAAGTGGACTGTAGTCATACGTCTGATGTATTGTTTACTGTGACAAACCTGCCAAAAACAGATTTTGTAAATATTTTATAAATTCTGTTAACAGAACGACACATAGATTTTATTAGCAGAGTGTATTGATGGTTAACTGAGCAGACTCTACTATTTTATAATTATTTAAATGATTATTTAAATGACAGATTCTACTTGTGATCTGCTGTCAAATCTTATGTCTGGCAAAATAAGTTTAACATGGACATAATGCTAATCTGCCACGGTATATATTTTATTTAAATTCATTGAAAAATTGTTAGTATATGAATAACATTTATATTATAATTATTAAGTAACATTTCATTTATTGAAAATATCAGACAAACAATTCCATTGATCTTATGATATAGATAGTCACGTTGACTTTATGTTACATTTGAATTTTGTTTTCGTTTGCAGGCACCGACGTCGCAAAACAGTGCGGAGCCGCCGGTGAAGAAGAGCAAAGTGGAAGGTAAATTGCTAATGCAACTAGATAGCCGTTTATACCTGTGATAACTACGATATTACATACATAACTTTGCTAGTGGGAAACGCAATGAAACAAAGAAGCACGACAGCGAGTGTAATATGTGTATTAACGAGCGAGAGAAACGTGATGATGGAAAAATGCGTACAATAGCTACTTAGGACACTCAGGTGCTAGCTTTCTCTTATTAAAAAAAAAATAAATAAAAAAAATGAAACGTGCTGCCATACTCTATAAAAGCTGCGGAATGCGGTCTGAATTCAGAAGCAGTTTTTGAGCGATAAATTTTCGGTAGGCTAGGGTAAATAGATGAATGACTGTATGGCGCTTAAATCACACTAATGTATGGTTGTCCTTTTGTTCTGAGATGTTACAGCGGAGAGACAGTACAGAATCCGTGGCCTACGACTGAGCGGTGATCACGAACGTGCGCCAAACAAAGAAAGACTACATTCGTTGAACAGAACAAATCAGAGTTTAACAAACTCCCACTACTGTACCTATTGCAGAGTACGATGAATACTTTTAGATAGGTCAGCATTTTAGGGCTTAGAGTCTCTCTCTCTCTCTCTCTCTATCTCTGTTCCTGATTATGAGCCTCTTTTGGAGGATAGGGACGCCACTTTAATTCCACCCGTTATAAATGATGTATAAAATTATCGGTAATCTAATGTCGGTTAAGAGACACGTATTTTTTTTTTTTTTTTTATGTATATGTATGACCGTCTTGTGGAGTTATTACTATCAAAGCAGTAATATCTCTACCTGCAAATGTCGAAGCGTCCAGAGGCTCGTAATCGGGAGTGGCAATGGCGAAAAGGTGTACATAAAATTTTTCATACATCCATGTGTCAAAACAATTTGTTTACATTTGCATTAGGTGATAATGAGTGATCGATAAGTCCCCAGCACTTGGACGTCGATATAGCCATGGATGTGGCTTAAAGAGATTTTGTCTAATTGAAAGTCCCTCTCAAATATGAGACCCGAAAACGTGGTATACACGGCCTCCCGCGTCACGCCTCCGTTCTCGCATTTTATTCTGCCGTCGCAGGATACGCGCTGTTTCCGAGACATGTTATAACGATGTCCGAGTGTGCACGCAGGCGATGCGAGTGAAGAAAAGAAAAAAAAAGAGATTGATCGCAAATACGATTTAGACTTGTGTGACGTTGAGCCTTGAGAACTCGAGTAAATTGCATTCCGGATATCGAATCGCGGAGGAGAAAAAAAAAAGAATTTCACGGGTCTCTGCATTTTACAAAGATCTCGCCATTGCTACGTGAAATAAAAATTGTTAGGTTGGAAAAGTATTGGTAGGTTGGAGAAGGCAAAGACTAAGGAAATGGCGCAGAAAATGCACTGAGAGTATTCTCCTTTGCTTTGTGCTTACAGATTTGTGCGTCGCCTCAATCTCGGATAATTTGCGCACAACCGTCATTGCTCAGCCCAGAACACGGTTAGCTGTAAATCGAATGAAAACTCGCACAAAACTTAAGAGCCATTTTTTTTTTTAATTCATGAAAAGTCGAAAAACTGACTTCTGTTTTTCTGTTTCTGATTTCTGTTTCAGAGACTAGCAGACCAAATTGGTTATGAAAACCTAATCTAATTATGACTAGTCTGATCTTTTTGGGGCTGATTGTGCAAACAGTAATTAGAAAGCTCAAATTTAATAAGACTCCTCTCCCGGCTATGACTGATTTTTTATCAAAGTTTTTTACGCATACGATTAACGTTCGGTCCATCCACTTTTTTTTTTCTCTCTCTACAAGTCGTGTTGTACAATCGTTCCGTACAATCGTTTTCCGACAAAATTTCTTACCTGTGGTCTTCGTACAATCTACAGCTTTGTTTCTTCTGCAATCAGGCATGCATCAAACGAGAGATATTTCTTCGTTTCGATGTTTGCACAAATAAATATGATTTTCATATGTACAATTTTTTGCATATACATGCCTTTGTGGTACAGCATACATGCACACATCGAACATAACACACCATACAAACCATATTTATTAAAAAGAGTTGTAATATATTCCTTGATCGTTTTAATTTCTGTGAACTTACAGTTTGGCGGACGGTTTTATCATAGCAGCTTCTGGCAAGGCGTCACGGTACTCCCGTGCTAAAGAAAAGATATTCCACAATACGAATAAGAATAATGCGCCCGCATACATCGAAATGCGACTAATAGAAGTTTTACTAGCCTAGGGCAATAGGTCGTCCGGCTGTTACACATCTCCGTGTACGAATCTGTACATAATATAGATGTTTCCCCCCTTCCCCCCAAAAAAAAGATTTGTCAAACGTCTGATTGCTGAGATAGAACAGTTATTTTAAATATCAATTTAAATGCATCAAAGAGAGAGTTTTCACGAAATTGGATTTCTGAAAAAAAAAAGTGAAAATAACGGCCACCCAAATTTGTGCTAACGAGAAAGTATAATCCCTGATCCATCGGTTGAATCATTTGAGAAATAATTTGGTGGCGTAACTGGTTCTATTTTGAAAAAATGAAATGTTTGAGATACTCTCAATATTTATCTACTTTAATGCAAGCTGTCTAATGCATGATTTCTTTGTAGGAAATGCATCAGAGTTCTTACCAGGTCCCATATATGATCTCAATCAAATTGGCCAAGTCGTGGCTGGTACGTATATTATTGTATATATATATAATTTACTTTATACTTTTTTAGATATTTTGAATCTCTTTTTACTAATTCGATTCAGGTTAGCTTAGAGAAATGATGTATAACATTATTAGTGACACATTATTTTTTTAAGTCAGTTCAATTTAAGCAATATTGAGCATTGACGCAGATTTAATGGACGTTTAGCTGATAAGATCTGATCTGAATAGTTGTTCTTTGTCGCTTTGAATTGTCCCTAGATCAGTCGGACTTATTCCTATTTTGCGATTTTACAGGACCTGGCGCTAAATATCTGACACTGCCTGGAATATTAGGAGCTGGCTTACCGAAAATTTCATCCGAGCAACAGGACACTGTAAACCGGGCGAAGAAATATGCGATGGAGCAAAGCATTAAGATGGTCCTCATGAAGCAGACCCTGGCCCATCAGCAACAGGTGACTTTTGAACTGCCAATAACTTCGCTCACATTTAATGTCGTTCCATTATGTCATTCTTGAAATTTAATATTATGATTATACTTTTTCCAGACAATTCTATTTGAATTGTAATTATTTTAATCCAATTAATCTGTCTAACCTAAATCTTTATTTCTTTATAAGAATGCATAATGGATATATATGCACACACCTATACGTGCATGTATATGATAATTAAATTGCCGAATTTGCTTATTGGGAATAAATGATCAGAATTAGTGATAAAATTATTAAATTTTAGTTTAATAATTAAAATTATTAAATGTTAATTTAATAATTTGAAATATTACATTTATAAGCCTTCTTCCTATCTTTCATAAATATTGTATCTCGTGATAGCGTTTTATTCATAATAAGGTAATCTGATCAGCCAATTCGGTGATTAGTGTATAAATATGGTTTAAATATTTTGTTTACATATATAATTTGTTTTGTTTACACATGTAAATTGTCTATTCAGCTCTTTACCGATTTATATAGCATATTATATAGTATTCTAAAATATTTAATATACATATAGCTCGTCCCGCCGAGTCAATTACTATACAGATATTTAAAAAAAAAGAGAGAAACGTTAGAATTAGACTCTGATTGGCTCATTTTTTTTCTCCCCGCAGAAGAATAAGTTGGTCCTGCGGCAGCAAGTTTTATTGCTAATGTGCAGGTTAGTGTCATCCAATTCAAGAAAGAAACGATAAATCCACCTTATGGTCGAACACTCCCTAAACATTTTCCCGAGTCGCTACCATAAGAAAAGGTTAGATACATAATTTGTGATAGTATAGTCGGCGGGAGCAGAGCTGTACAACACGCAGGAGGATAAGTTATTGTCAATGCATGAATCATCAGATGATCTCAACGATATTCTTCTGAGCTCGACTGTTTCTTCGCCTCAAAGAATAAAATTGGCGCAAAAACTGTACTTTAAATTTATTAAGAAATGCAGCGAATAAAAAGAGAAATTTTGAAATAGTATTCTGACATTCCATATAAACTCGGGTTTGCCTTATTTTAAATTTTGTAAATTACATGAATTTTCATACATTGCAAAGCATATAATTCATCCATGCTGCAGTTTTGAATAATTATTCTCAATATATAGAGATTTATATATAAGATATTTTCTTTTAAAATATATTAATGTATATAATCTAATATGCATATAATATCTTTTAAAATATATTAATGTATATTCTAATATATACATATAATATATATACTTAGATTTAGATTTTTGTAGTGTTAAAAAAAATGCCAATGCATGTTTTCGACAAAATTAAAATTAAACACGTTGATAATTGAACACGTCGAGCGAAGAAGTTGGAATGGTAAAAGAGCTTGTGAGGGATTACTTGAAGTCAATGAAATGTGTTGTAAAATGGGGGAGGGATATCAATAGAAGGCCTTTGGTCCTTTGTGTTACAGCAAATGGCTAGTCAACGGAATCAGGTGCAAAGACAGCAGGCTCTCGCTCTCATGTGCAGGTTTGTTTGTTCTTTGTCTTAATCCTCGAAACTTTCGTGCAAGAGAAATATATCCCTCAAGAGAGTTATACTCGAACATTTTATTATTTATTTAAAGAACACTATTCGTTTTATATTTTTAATAATTATACAATGAAGTGGATTAGAGAAGTGGCTATATAATAGAGCCACGAATACTTTAACACTAGAAGGATACTGATAAAAGTTTTCTAGTCAACAAATTACAGAAATTAGTTTCTTATAGCTTTTATATTATCCATGGTCCTCAGGCATCCTGCAGCAAACATTGATCGTTATCCTTCCTATACATCGTTCATTTTCACAGTATCATGCTAATTCTGTTAGTAGTAATTTCCATGTCTTGCAGTCGTATCATAACACTCATGTATATACAAAATTATATATTAGCAAAAATGTATTAAGTCAGACTGTAAACAGAGATTTTTTTAACATGTTTTTTTTTTCATCTTACAAAAAACAAAAAATATTTTTATATCAGAGATTATTAATTACGTAGGCTAAATAAGTAATCATACTCTTTATCAATCACTTGCAGAATTCTATATTTCTATGTAATATTTGTATATGGATGATTTTTGTGAAATATGTAACAATCTTTTCTACTGATAAATACTCTACTGTGATTAACTATTAATGCCGTTGTTGCATAAACTGTTATAACAATTGGATAAATGTGTATTTTAATATTCGAGATGTGTAACGTAAATAATACATTAATCTAAATAAATAATAATATTGATATAAATTAAATATGCTTTTCGAAATTTTAAATGCATGATAATTCTAATGCAAGTGATGGATATGTGGAAGTTCGAATAAAGTTACGTGTTATTTTAGCAAGAAAATACATATATATATAGTTAGATTTAATATTAACATTAATGTCAGTAACATCTATAATTGTACGACAGGGTTTATGTGGGCAGCATCAGTTTTGAATTGAAAGAAGACACGATCAGGCAAGCTTTCTTGCCATTCGGACCGATCAAGTCCATCAATATGTCTTGGGATCCCGTTACGCAGAAACACAAGGGCTTCGCCTTTGTCGAATACGAGATACCCGAGGCCGCGCAACTTGCTTTGGAACAAATGAACGGTGTCATGATCGGTGGCCGCAACATCAAGGTAGCAGGACGTACCTATATAACGAATTTCCTGTCCCCCAGCAATCCTATCATCCCGCCGGAGGTCGGCAAATTTTTATTTAGTCCTTTTTAATCCGATACCTACGATCTTCGAGCGAACTGCATCTCGACTTGCGATTTGCTCGAAAATCTCAATTCATTAGTATACTTTTGCTTTTTGTATACACATTACATTTGAGTTTCATTTGCTTATTGAGTTACATCCCATCATTCATCATTTTGTATGTTATATACTTATTTAGTGAATAGTTTTGCAGTAATAATATTAACGCGTAACGTTATATAGAGAACACATCTTATAGATTATCTCTCTCTTTCTCTCTCTCTCATGCTTACCTCAGGTCGTGGGACGTCCGTCCAATATGCCACAAGCGCAGTCGGTGATCGACGAGATCACCGAGGAGAGCAAACATTACAACCGCATTTATATCGCGTCGATACACCAAGACCTCACGGAGGATGACATAAAGTCGGTTTTCGAGGCGTTCGGGCCGATCACGTACTGCAAACTCGCGCAGGGTAGCTCGCCGCATCGGCACAAGGGTTACGGCTTCATCGAGTACGAGACGATGCAGGCTGCGCTGGAGGCGATCGCCTCCATGAACCTGTTCGACCTGGGTGGCCAGTATCTGAGAGTGGGCAGAGCCATAACGCCGCCGAACGCGCTCATGGGACCACCCAGCGGCACCAGCATGATGCCGACCGCGGCCGCGGTGGCCGCGGCGGCCGCGACGGCGAAGATTCAGGCGATGGACGCGGTCGCCAGTAACGCGGTCGCCTTAGGTCTCACTAAACTCGGAGCCACCGCGCCGCCGATCCTAAATCAAAGTTCGTATACTTGTAATTCACTGACACGCTTAAAGCCTGTTTTCACAATTCGCGGTTTAACTCGATTTAACCGAAGTTCAACTCGCTGTATCTTTTTCTAATCTAAGAATTAGGAGATAAACAGTAAGCTGAACCGAGATTGAAGTTAATTTTATATCTGTGGAACCGGGCCTAAAAAATCGAAACGTTGCAAGAGAGGGAAAAATCACATCTTTATACCATTATCCCTTACAGCACTTCCTGGCGTGGTACGACCTACCATAGCGCCCGCAACAATAATGGCGCCGCCGACGGTAGCAACGGTAGCGCCAGTGATACCTCCACCTGGCATCGCCATACCGCAAACCTTAACGCGGCCGCCCGCGATTATCCAACCGATTCCCGGCCAGCCGGTTGTCATACCACCTCCCGCTGTCGTCGCGCCTACGATCGTCGGCACGCCAGTTGTAAGTATCAATATAACTCGAAAAAGCATTGAAATAAAAAGATACTGAATCGTCAATAATTGTGAAAAATCTGATTGCTCGTCAGATACCAGTCACAACGACCGCGAATTCGGATGTCATGAGGCGAGCGCAGGAACAGGCGGCTCATCAAAAGCAGCAGGAAGAGTTGCAGAAGAAACTATTGGAGGAGACGGAACCACAGACGCTGCAGCAGCAGGAAAATATGTCGATCAAGGGCCAAAGCGCGCGTCACCTCGTGATGCAGAAGCTCATGCGTAAAGTCGAGTCCCGAGTCGTTATTTTGAGAAATATGGTGGCGCCGGAGGATGTGGACGAGACCCTGCAGGAGGAGATTCAGGACGAGTGCTCCAAGTTCGGTGTGGTCGTGCGGGTTATCATTTATAAGGAGAGACAGTCCGAGGACGACGAGAACGCGGAGGTCATCGTAAAGATATTCGTCGAATTCGCCGAAATGAACGGTAAAATATATCTATATAACGCATAGGAGTAAATTGATCGTACTCTCGTCTCGAGTATATGAAAAAAAAAATCTAGATTACCCTGTAATATATATTAATAGTCCGTCACGTAATTATCGAATTGATTTTTTTGCATTTTCAGAAGCGGAACGCGCAAGAGATTCGCTAAACGGTCGTTACTTCGGCGGACGGCTGGTTAAGGGCGAGCTGTACGATCAAGCTCTATTTGATAATAATGACTTTTCCGGTTGATGCGCCCTCGTTTTTGGTATCCGATTACGTTTTTATCAATTAAAATTCGTATAAAAGGAAATTTGACAAAATTTAACGTTGACTGATAGCCTTGATCTTCGTTGTTTAAGCTACTATTTATAATGTGAGATCCTCGTAGTCCTCACGCGTTGAGCAGTCGAAGTCAAATTATTACACGCGATAACACGGCTCTAATCGCAAAGTTCGTAGCGTGACCAGGTCGCGAAGTGTCGAAACGGCACGACTTGCAAGCAGAAAGCTGTACAAGTTTGTCAAATGTGATTTAGAATGTCTCGCGTACATTCGACTCTTTTTTTTCATCCTCCCCACATTTTAAACGAAACTTTATATACTCGATCACGTATGTTATTAGTTTCAGTATCACGGGCCAACGCCACAATTGCAAACTAGAGTCGTAGTATCTCGAGAAATATTTCGTACACCTACCCAGTATATAGTACCTTTGTTATGATTTTGTCGAGATTGTATATGAAAGCGGTAGATCTTAATTTACTTAATTGTATAGAAAAAAAATAGACTTAATAAATCATTTTACATATACATGACTCTTGGAGCTTAACGATTCAGTATGTCTCGAGAATGCGGTCGATATTGATCTAAGTTTTGAATTAAATCTAAACAGGTCTGATGTTAGAAGATAACTCTTTTTTTTTCAATTATTCCTCCAGGAATTCTGTCAAATACTTTATTGCATAAATAGAAAGTAATTGTAAACTTTCCACTAGGAATACGTTTTTTTTTTATGTGAGACATACTACGTCTCCATTTTATCTATTTATACGAGTCCTTCGGTTTGTAGCCGCTGCCAAATTCCTTGTAATCTTCGTAGATCGGAAAATTTCCCGAAGTGGTCTGCGAGGCGGAGGGCGCGGGGAGACTTTTGGCGTCTCCGCTCTCGGAGCGGCTCCCCGCCGTAAGTTTCGCCGCGTTCTCCTTCTTGGCCTGTGCCACTTGGTAATTCGCCTCTACCTCCTCGCGCGTGGGCGGCTCTTTCCTACGGTATCTCAGCCAGGCCTCCCATTCCGCGGGCAGCTCCTGCTCGAAGTCGTCCTTGTTGACCGGCACGAAGTACCGCGGCGGCCTTTTCCGGGCGGAATAGCGAATCTCCTCCTCGTAGTACCTCGTGCCGTAGTAATCCTCGCCCATCAGCTTGCGACGGGCGAAGCGAGGCTTCATCGCGGACAAGAAAGTCTTCCAAAGGATCTGCATGACGCCACGCTCTTTGGCCATGCTGTCGCTAAATTATAAACAAAGAGAACAATTGTATATATATTTTTTTTATACACGTGAAACATGCGATATGTTAAGCAATTAAATAGCGAGAAAATATTTATTAAAAATCTTAACGCTGATCATAATTTTGCAAGTGACAGGTTCATAACCTCGAAACACAATGCTGTGTTCAACCATAAATAATTTAGGATAGAACGAATAGCCACATAATTGTAATTTATTTTAAAGAATTAGAATTTTAAGTAATTTTCAATCAATATAAATCAGATGTATGTCAAATCACATACCGTTCGCTGTATGCAGAAATTATGCGACCTTCTTTTAGGTTAGAACAAGTCCTTCGAGGGCTTCGAGACAGGTTTGTTTTTTGTAACTGCACTACAAAGGTGTTGCACTTTCGAGTGTAAAACTTAAAGTGGCACTTAAAAATGAAATAGGTTTATAGAGTTTTTAAATATTGAACAGAGAGAAAAGATGGAAAGAGGTGTAAATATTTAGCTCAACTATCTCTCGGCTCCAATACTGATGAATTTATTGTATAAAATTCAGATAGAGAAAGAACAAACTTCGAGGATAAGAATTTCGAGATAACTTCCCGACAGGCCGATTAACAGTCTTTTCGTTCTCTTATTCCGAACTTGGACCGTATTCCCGACGACGGAATAAAATGGCAGCGCGCGCGCTGCCACGTCTGGGGGTCCGCGGGGTCGCGCGCGGGGCCCCTCGCGTCCCGCGCCACCCGTGCACGGCACTGGCCCATCACTCGATACGTCACTTCCAGAGGCGCGCGGCGCGCGGCGGTGGAGCGCGTCTCGTGGTGTGTGCGGCACGCACGAAAGGCCCGCGCGCGTGCGTGAGCGAGCGCTGCGAGCGTGGTGGTGACTGGCGGTGGTGAGAGGAGCAGTAGATTGAAAATGGCCGTGTACGTGCCTAGCTCAGCCGCAGAGATCGCCGATCCCCGCGTGAGATAGCTCCTGCCGCGGGCCCGCGCGACGGAACGCAACCTGCACGCGCGTGTGTAAATAGTGTGTGCCGTCGCTCGTCGATCTCCGTCTCTCCTCTCTCTCTCTTTCTCTCTTCCTCCCTCCCTCCCTCTCCCTCTTTCCTATGAACAGACCCCGCAAAACGAGACGACGCACGGCGTCGACCAGCTAGCGGCTACATTCCGGCGGATTTCGCAGCGGTAGAACGCAGAGGGGCGGAGGAGGAGGGGAGCGATCATCGTGTCCAGAGATCCCCGGGACTGGAGTCCGGACCCTCGTCCTGTCACCGATCGCAGGTAAGCGAGACACCAGCGGCAGCACGCGAGCGCCGCTGCGCTCGTCCGCGAGGAACGTCCGGGAATCCTCATTCCCCCAGGTTCGGTCGCGGATGACGGGTGGACGACGGACGGCCGTCTGTCCGCCCTGAAGTTGCACGCGGGACACCGCGTCGTCGCTGTCTCGCCTGAAGTGACATAAAGTGAGCGCGACACCACGGCGTTTCCCTCTTCTCTCCTCTCTCTCTCTCTCTCTTTCTCGCGACGTCGGGATCGGGAGAATCGGGACGTGGACTAGGTGCTCCTTCTAGATGCACCCTCTTGCACTTTCTATACGCGCGGAATGAAGTCATTCGCGTTCGTATCTCGGCCGCGGTGGGCGAGGCGAGGGGGAGATTGTCGCAGGTAGGCGATGCGGTGAAAGAGTGAGAGAAAAAGAGATAGAGAGAGAAAGAAGTAGGCGCAGCCGCGAAAGACAGTCCCGTCTAGCCTCCACGAGACGGACACGAGCGCGACGTGTCGTTTACGCGATCTCGGGCCGCCCATCCCGAACGTCATCGTTGCATCGTCGTCGTCGTCGTCGTCGTCGTCGTCACCGACGACGACGACTATCTCTCTCTCTCGCGTCAACGGCCGTACGTAGCCCGATTTCCCGTGCGTGTCGGGGCGTGTTCGTGGCTCGAGAGGAACTCTTCTAACCGCTTTCGCGCGAGCGGATGGATCACGGAGCAGGAGCTCTGTGCGAGCAGAAGAGAGAGAGAGAGAGAGAAAGAGAGAGGGATCCTGAAAAATCAGCCGTACGGCGGCCGCATCGGCAACGCGACGGTAATGGACGTGACCTAAGGTTACTTGTCAAAATTGTGTCAAGCCGCGTGACCAAGCGTCAACACCTGTCGACGTGAGAGAGACTCGTGCTCTGTCCGTCTCCCTTCCTCTCCGCCTCCTTTCTCTCCTTATCTCTCTCTCTCTCTCCCTCTCTCTCTCTATCTTCCTCCTTTCCTTCTGGCCGTCGCTCGCGTTTCGTTCTCTCGCGATTTCTTATCGTCCGTCACGCTTCCGCGAGATACACGCGGCTACGCGAGGGGCGGCTGTCGATGGCGAGGCGAGCGTGTGTTGGACGGAGATCCCGGACGACGCGGAGTTTAAAATTGGGACGTGGGATATCTTTAAAGTGTCCTCTAGACATCTTTCAGACGTCGCAAAGGTGTCTTCCCCAAAGACATCCTCTCTCTCTCTCTCGGACACGTCTCGTGTCCCGATTTTGGACTTTGTATTGCCTCGGAGATCGTGGCCGCGCCGCGCTAAAGGATTACGATCGCGATGCGGTGACGCGGCTCGCGATCGCACGGCGTTTACGCGCCGCAGTACCGCAACGGTAATTCCGTTTAACGCCTCCTAATCGAATTTGCTGTCGTCGCGCGCGAGAGAGCCCGCACCGGACGTTTTGCAAGCGTCTGCCGCTGCTGCCCACGCCGAGATGCTTCCGCGAGCAGGGCATCGCCATGCAATCGCCCCTGCACGCGTTTCGCCTTTGACTCTCTCGTAGTGGCTCGCTGTGGGGCTCCTCTTCCTTCCCCTTGAAAGGAAACGTCGAACGCCGTGGAAGAGCCCGTTTCGTTGAAACGTGTTGGCGCGCGCGCGTCCTACCTGTGTGTTCGCACAGTCGGAAAATCCTTTAAAATCCCCGGCATTTAAAAATGCCTGAAATCTTTAAAGGGCCCCAGAAGAATCCCTTTAAAGTTGGAGGAGGAAAAGGGCCGTCGAATGAGAGGATCTCGCGGATTCCCGGATTTCGCGGCCGAGAACTCGAATTCTTAATATTTACGAATATTACTAATTGTTACGAGGAAGCGTCTCAGCTGCGCATATCCTCGATAATACAACCGACTGACTGCAGATAGCAGATTTTTCTGTTTGTTTTTTTTTTCTTTTTAAGCTTATCGAGCGATATCAGAGTTCTCTCTAATACCCCCTTATCTCGCCTCCGTAATTTATTTGTTCGCGTAACACGTCCCTCGTCGCTTACATTCTTTTCAAAGAGCGCACCTGACTCGCCACGGTTACGCGCATTAGGATTTTATATACGTACACTTGATTTCTGGTTTCTGGCCAACTTAAGGATGGATATCTTGTTTAATGGAACGTTCCGCCGACTTCGCCCCAGTTTTCTCCGCAATGAAATTTCTGCATTATTCACCACCGCCGTTGAAATACATTAGAAACAAGTATATATTAATTACTGTTGCGCGCATCTCGCGGTATCAAAGCTGAAGAAAAAGGAAAAGATATCTCTTTATCTTCGCCTATCTTTAACAGATCGAGCGTCGAACTGTATTAACAAAACAACATTTCTAACGAATAGATAGAATTACAAGGACGATTGATAATAAATGATAATTTTTCTGTGTTTCTCTCGTTTCCAGAAGTCGACCCGACGTTCCCCGGCGCGTCTGATTAGCGAAGACCGTCAGCGATGGGTTGTCGCACTCCTCTTGTCCGTGCCCGCGGTGGTCCGAGTCCCGCGACGATAATCGATTAGGAAGTGCGGCCTATAAGAGATTCACAAAGATGCGGGAGTGGTGCGGCACGGTCCCCTGGTGTCCAGCAGGGATCTAAGGAGAACGAACATCTCCGCGCCTTCGAAGAACTTGATACAGGCCGACGTGTTAAAATAATGCGGACTACGTAAAGTGACATTGTTTTAAGTACCACACATACCACACACATTTGCAGTGCTGAGAAAAATAGTTACTGAGCTCTTTTGAGCGCCGACTATATAGTTATATTTTACTACAGATTTAATACGGTTGTTGATAGTTTACACCTTGTACAGCGGGGGAGAGCGTTTGTTAAGGCTTTTTTTTCCGCAACAGTGTGTTCAAATTGCAATAATAATAGTCCGGTTTGAGTACACATTTTCGCGAGTGCGTGTTTCAATATACAACTACCAAAATGTCGTTCCTGTCGAATCTGCGGAAGGCCTTCCACTTCGGTGGCAATGATGCGAAGAAGAAGAAGTTGTACAATAACATCAAGATGGACTGCAATCCGGAAGAGTTTTGGGAGATGGTGGGCGAACTGGGTGACGGCGCGTTCGGTAAAGTTTACAAGGTAATACACCGTTTCGAGAGAGGCCAGGTCTGCGCTCGAGGTCTGTCGGTGCTCCTTTTTTAAACAATTGTTTTTAAACAATTCAGGCACAGCACAAGCAGTCCAACCAGCTTGCCGCCGCGAAAATGTGCGCGCTGGAGGGAGAGGACGATCTTAGCGATTTCATGATCGAGATAGACATTTTGTCGGAGTGCAAGCATCCCAATATCGTTGAACTACACGAGGCTTACTTTATTGAGGGAAAATTATGGGTATGTTTCATGCTTGTTCTAATATATTAAGTATGTTTCTATTACAATTGGTATTTATAGCGAAGGCTTTCTTTTGTAAACGAAACAATTATTTTTGCGACGAAATTAAATAATCACTCTGAAAAAAAGAAACCGAAGAAACAGGGAAACGTTTTTTTTATTTTTTACAGATGTTAATTGAGTATTGCGACGGCGGTGCTGTGGATTCCATAATGGTCGAGTTGGAGAAGGCACTAACAGAAATGCAAATAGCATACATCTGCCAGCACATGACGAAAGGTCTTATCTTCCTACACAAGTCCAAAATCGTACACAGGGATTTGAAGGCGGGAAATGTCTTACTGACTATGGCGGGGGGTGTTAAAATAGGTAAAAATGCTTAAAATTCAGCTTCAGTAAATTTCTTTAGATACAATTTAAAGGAATATGCAACGGATTTTATCTTTAATTACAGCTGACTTTGGCGTGTCCGCAAAAAACAAGCATACTCTGCAAAAGCACGATACGTTTATCGGAACCCCCTACTGGATGGCACCCGAGGTTGTCTTGTGCGAAACGTTCAGGGACAATCCTTACGATTTTAAAGTAGGTACTCGTGTAAATGTAAATGTATACTTTCGGTCGCTCCGACTTAAAACGATGTTGTAAGTGAACTGTCGGATTGTTTTTTTTTTTCTTTTTAGGTGGACATTTGGTCTCTTGGTATAACTCTAATAGAGTTTGCACAAATGGAACCACCGAACCACGAAATGTCGCCGATGCGTGTGCTACTTAAAATACAGAAAGGCGATCCGCCGAAACTGGATCAGCCCGGGAAATGGAGTAAGGAATTTAATGATTTTATTGCTAAAGCACTTATAAAGGACCCGACCTCACGACCCACAGCTGACGATTTGTTAAAGCATCCGTTTATAAGCCGAAATTTAGATCCAAAGCCTATCAGGGACTTGTTACTTGAATATAAGGCGGATGTGGTCGAAGAAGAGCTGGTAGATGAGGAAGCGGAGGTAGGTTCTATTTTCCACCCTGTATACCATCTTACTTTCTTTTATGTACATGTTAATTATGCAGATCATAAGCGATATGAGAGATAATACGGTAAATTATAAATTTACGAAACCGAATCTATAGCTAACATATACGAATATATACGAATTTCTTTCTATTCAAAAGAAACATGCAAGCCACTATATTCTTTGCATGAGATTTACAATAATCTAATACATGCTTCACGTAAGGAATAAACATTATCTCTAACATAGCGTTTCTTTTACATTAGTTACACTGTAGTTGCATTAATGATGGTCCGATTCACACTTTGCTCTTTCACATCTAAAGAAATTTGCTCTGGTGCGAAAGTTTATATTTTAACGCGACAGACACTTTATTTTATAATTCAAATAGTTACATAGGCACAGAGCCTCTGATAATGCAGAATTAACATGTATTACACATTGTTACATGCTTCCGTTATTATAGAAGGCCAAAAAAACGAAAAAACACAGAGAACAATATCAGCGAATTGGTAAGCTGCTTCTGTGTGAAGCATACATGTCTTACCCCTCCCCCTGTCCATGTAAAATTACGGAAGAACGTAAATTATTAGAAAGTTGATCAGATGTTGTATCAGTTAGAACCTGAAACATTCGTCCTGGCAAATATCCCTGTGAAAAATTGTGAACGCATTAGGAACACACTTGTTCAATTACTTAATATCAAGTTATCAGTTCTTAAATAAGATGTGACTGTTCGCATTTATATGACGCATGACGTGATTATCTCATTTAAATATTACAATAGTGCATGCGTTTTTTTAATTAAATCTGTCGCCAATTCTGTTTTTTTTTTTCTTTAATCTCTCTTTTAAGAAATGAATTATTAAATATGTAGGATATATAGTAATCAGTAGCAGATTATTCTTATGTATAAAAATATGTTATGATCATGATAAATGTGTTGTGATAACTTTGTTACTTTGGCTGTGCATGCGGTTCTCCTGGCCCTCGCCAACCTCATTACCCCAATGCGCGTCAGGTTAGTAGTTTGCGCCACTGCATTTCGCGAGCCCCAACAGGATCAATTAATCCTAAGCTACATAATAAATATATGAACTTAAAAGAGCTACATACGCTACTGTACTAAGAAAATTTCCATTAAGTGGCCCATGTAATACAATACAAGCTGTTTTTTCGGAAACAAATTCTTCTTCGACGTTCTTTGACCTTTTAAAGTTTGCTGGAAATTTTTGGATTGAGTGAAATGCTACAAGATATCGGAGATATCTAGATATTTTTACGCAGTGATAAAAATTCATGACAAAAAAAAGATACAAGGTTGTCTCTTTTTTCAAAAATCGATTCTTGTTCCTTTTAGGAATCTTATCATGTTTTCCTCTTTCTCCATGTATGAAAGCTTTCAACTTTAAAATTCTGAGAGAAATTATGTTACTGTGTATTTCTAATCAGTTTCCGAGAAAACAATTTGTAAAATTTGTGGACCACTACATAATTATATAATTACGTACAGCATGAGATAACATTTTCTCTATTTTATTGTTTCATAATTTTTTATACTTGATATCGAAACGATGAACTGCAAAATTTACGATTGCAATCTGCGAACTTTGGCATTGATTAACATTTCTATCTATGTGTATCTGGTTACATGTTACTTATATCATTTGTCAATTGAAATCAAATGATTTATAATTGAAAGGAGATCTTTATCTGTATTTCTTAAATTCCGTATTTAATTTTGTGTACGTTAATATTTCAGGAGCAGCGCACGTCTCAGCTTCCTCTGGAGTTGGATCAAATCACAGATGACTCCGCACCCACGCGTCTTGATGCTGATGTTAAGAGTGAGTGTTACAAAACTACGAGTCTAACAGTAAGATATAACATTACACGATGTATAAATACTTTACTCTCCATCTTTTAGTTCCCGAGAAAGAAAATCTCGTGGCAGTGAAGAAAGAGGAGAGCCACAAGCGCGAGATGAATCGGGACGGTGAGAAGGAGGACAAGAACAAGAGATTGCGTAAGGCTGAGTCCAAAGAGAACATACAGCCGCCTCCTGTCGAGAAGAAGCAGGTACCTGACAACAATCAATTAGCTCAGCTTAATTAGCAGCCCATCGGTCGCGCAGAGAATGAATGTTTGTTAATAACGTGCAATTATTTTGCGTTAGGCACCTAAGCCACCGAGCGAGACGAGTGAGCGCAGATTATCTCGAGATAAAGGGCCGGCGCCCCCGCCGCCGCCCATGCGTCAAGATAGCGAGGAGAAGCGGAAGAGGGACGAGGAGCGAGAGAACATTCCGAAAACCGTCGAGAAAGTCGTAAACCTGGCGGACAAACAGAAATCTACGGAGGACAGGCCGCATACCGATAAGTCGTCGCAGAACGAAAAGGTGGCGGATCAACGGGTGACAAATCTCAAGGAGCAAAAGAACTTGGAGACTGAGGATCAGACGAAAAATGAATTGGACAGTTCCGAGAGGGTGAAGAAGGTGGAGAGCGAGGGCAACGGCAAATTGTTCGATAATATAAGAAAATTCGAGAGTCAGCAGAAGTTGATGAACAATAAGTCGAGTTCCGCCTCGAAGAAACAATTGGGGATCAATGAGAAGCGCAAGTCGGCGCCCGTGAAGCCAGAGATGATCGAGGACTTGTCCAAGATAATATACAAGCAGTCATCTTTTGAGGATAAGAACAGGTGAGAATATTTTCCGTTTACTTTTTAATTGTCAGAGTTTAGCTTCATAAATTGAACTTTGGAACGCCGATCTAAAACAAGAAAACTATTTATCGTGAATTAATTGTGTTTCCATTTAGAATGAAAAATAAGCTGTCGTCCGTTGACGACGTAACGAATTACGAATTGCAATCTCGGGACAAGGAGGTTTACAAGAGCTTGGATGAGAAGCGGAAGTCCGTCGGGGAGAAATTGAACGCCGTGTTGGAGAAGCGATTGTCCATGGACGCTAAGAAAAGAATAAGCGACGGTTCTGTGGACACGCTGAAGCACATATCCGTCGCGTCGACGCTCCTGTCGGAGAAGAATAACGTCAGGGCTAGTTCCACGGAGGACATCAAGACGCAGTTTGGCGTAACGAAGACTGAGACCCACGCGAAGAGTCGCAGCGCGGGATCGTCCAGAAATGATTCTCTGGAGAGCTTCCCGAATGAGTTGCACGCTAAAATGGATAGCAGTAAGACGGATTACAATCAGGAGGACGACGACAAGGGCTTGGAGAGGCAGGATCCGGGAATTAACGTGTCGGTGATTACGTCGACGCCGATCAGAAGCAGGAGCGGTTCGAGGAGAAGCAGCGGGGACAACATAGTCGTTATTACTGGTAAATTTTAGATAGTACACCACTTTATCAACATTTTTCAACCTTTCTGAATTTGCGACGTCAATAAGCAATCAAATTTATTATCATTAAGTGTATACGCTTCTAACGCTCAGAAATGTAAAATAAAGTCGTAAAGTTTTTATTTTATTGTTTTAAAAGTGATTCTGTTACAATAACGATATCGCTTGGTTAAAATGAACTTCTAACGCTCAGAAATGTAAAATAAAGTCGTAAAGTTTTTATTTTACTGTTTTAAAAGTGATTCTGTTACAATAACGATATCGCTTGGTTAAAATGAAAGTAAACACAATTTATAATTTAGGTAACAATTTCAGTTTTACAATTTTTTTAAATACTTTTTACTTCGCTCTTTATTTTTAAGTTTTTTTTTGTTTTGTTTTTACCTTCTCTAAAATTTTCATGGCACCCTTGGAGATTGTTTGCATATCGGTTTGCATGTCTTAGACTAATTTTTGCTTATACGTCACGTTGCAGGAAAAGCTCAACCCGAGCAGGAAGTACGCTTAAATACATCAACCGTCCACATCACTACCGATACGCCAGATATGTCGAACAGTCTAGCGAGTAACATAAGCCAAGTGACCGTCGTGACCACGCATCCGCCCGTATTGGTGGACGCGCCCTCGACGACGGCCGCGGCGACGACGGCGCCTCTTCCGCGCCGCACCTCGCCGACGTCGGAGGTCGTTATCGTCGCCAACGAGATGAACAAGACTCAGGTGAACGATAATTCTATCGACGACGACGCGTTTCCTAGTCTGGACAGTCTGGAATACACGCCGCAGGAACAGCCTATCGTACTTACCGACGTGTCCAAGAGAATCGGCAAGAAGCTGGACGAGTCGGAGGTGGTCATAGTGAGCCCGATCGTGGACGAGTTGCAGGACACCAGTCATGTCTCGGTGGTCACCGTCGGCGAGGACAAGGAGCGGGTGAAGGACTCGTCGAGATCCAAGAAGCACCACGTCGTTCGTACCGGCTCGTCTCACAGCGATCTGAGCTCGAACGAGCGATCGAGCCTGAGGAGCGACAGCGGGGACGAGAGCGGCAAGGTGATAGTCGCCAGCACGACCGTCGAGTCCCCGGATATAGACGACTACGAGAGAAACGCGAAGAAGCTGAACGGACTGATCAAAAACGAGATGCCGCATCACGCCGACGATAGGATCGTGAAGGCGGTCCGACCGAAGGAGATTAACGTCAAGAGTTTCAGTAAGGAGAAACGAGTCTCCCCGGACAGCTTCGAGGGCTCCAGATCCCAGAGCGATTCCAGTTCTATAAGATCGCACACGCCGAGCAAGAGCATCGATCGTTCCGACGCCGAGTCCATCTCGACGACGATCAGCCAGGACAGCAGGGAATCGAACAAGGAAAATCGTCTGAATCAACCGCAACATCCGGAGGTGAGCGAGGAGGTCGTCCTACGTCGAAAGCCCGATTACAATCGCGAGATGTCCCGGCCGACCAGAACGAAGGAGGACATACAGATGATGAATCTGAAGAAGAAGACGAGGAAGCGCACGAGGAAGTTCGAGATCGACGGCGTCATGATGACGACGACGACCTCGAAGGTGATATACGGCGACGACGAGAACGGCAAGATATACGACGATCAGATATTCAGGAAGCAGGAACTGCGGGAATTGAAGATGCTACAGAAGATGGAGCAGAAGCAGTACCAGGATCTGTCTCAGAAGGCTCAGTTTAACAAGGACCAGCAGGAGAAGCGATTCGAGCAGGAGCGACAGATCCTGGAGCGGAGTGCCGAGGCGGATTTGGAGGCACTAGCCCGGCAGCAGCGACAGCAAATCGAGCGCGCCGAGGCGCAGCAGGAGGTCGACCTGCGACTGTCGTCCAAGAAGATCCGCAGCGAGCAGGAGAGGGAGCTCAAGCTATTCCGCGAGGGCCTGAAGCAGGAGTTAAGATTGCTCAAGCAAGAGATAGACTTGATGCCAAAGGACAAGAGGAAGAGCGCGTTCAAGATACGGAAGGAGAAGCTCGAGGCGGAGCACGAGGAGCGGGAGAAGCTCTTCCTGGAGAAGCTCAACGAGAGCCACGAGATGTCGCTGAGACGACTGTCGGACAGCCATCGCGAGAAGATTGCGCTGATGGAGCGGCAGTTCTTGCAGCAGAAGCAGCAGCTGATGCGCGGCAGGGAGGCGGCGATCTGGGAGCAGGAGGAGCGGCAGATACACGAGCGGCAGCAACTGCTCAAGAAACAGCTCAAGGACATCTTCTTCCTGCAGAGACATCAGATGCTCATACGGCACGAGAAGGAGCTGGAGCAGATGAAGCGGATGAATCAGCGGAAGGAGGAGGAGCTGATCAAGCGGCAGACGGTGGAGCGTAGGAACCTGCCGAAGAGGATTCGCAACGAGATGAAGGCGCGCGAGATGATGTTCCGCGAGTCGATGAGGATCTCGATGTCGTCCGTCCTCGCGCCGGATCCCGACGCCGAGCGGGAGAAGCTGAAGAAGTTTCAGGAGAACGAGAAGAAGAGGTACAGGGCGGAGCAGCAGAGATTCGAACTGAAGCATTCCAGGCAGCTCGAGGAGGTCAGGGCTCAGAGCGACGCCACGATCAAGGAGCTGGAGCAGTTGCAGAACGAGAAGCGGAAGATGCTGATGGAGCACGAGACGCTGAAGCTGAAGGAGCAGGAGGAGGCGTACGGGCGAGAGATCCGTGAATGGAAGGCGCTGCTTAAGCCACGAAAGCAGGTAATTACGCTCGGAGCTTGAATAATGTTATCTTAAAGTTAGTATCTTCGTCTTTTTCTTATCGATGTGTTTCTTGGGTGCAAAAATCTTTGATCTTTGCGGCCTAATTTAGTATACATGTAACTGCCTTTTAATTCTCTATTGGTTTTTAGCGCGATGTGCTTTACTTTCAAAATTACGTTTTTATTTTTGCGCATTTCCGTAATAGTGTGAGAATTTGAGTTTGAGTCGAAGGTCGGCGCAAACCGACGCACAGAAATTCACGGGAGTAACGCGGAGCCAGGGAGATAAACAAATTTCGATCGTTTGTTTTTTTTTTNTTTTTTTTTTTTTTTTTTTTTTTTTAATGACAGAGATGTTCGCTTTTGCATTCAAGCTTGCGTCGCTTTGCGCTGAGCTTAACTTGCATGACTAATCAATTAATGTAACGAGGTCGCTGTAAAACAAGATGAGAAAAGTAATTGGCAAGAACGCGGAACGCGGGAAGAAAAAATACGAATTCGTATAGTTTAATGTAAACTTGAAACGCGCGAAGCACTCGAACTCCCTAGGCCCCACGACACAAGTCTGAAATAAAGTTGTTGATGTACCTGTTATAGAAGATAGAAGCTGATCTGGCGGCTGAAATGGAAGCATTGGAAAAGCGCTACCAAGACTATTTGCCTTCTGGTCTTAGCGGTCTCTCCTTTCCTCCTTTCGACTATTCTAAACCCGTGATCTCCGACACTTGGAGGAGATCGCCACGCTTGCCGCGCTTGCCACGTTCCACTCCCACCTCCCCGTCTTTCACCATACCCAGAGTGTCGCTGAAGATGAGCGGTTCGGATTCGGGTACCTTCGTGACGAACGGCACGATCTCACGAAGTTACTCCAAGCCAGACCTAGTGCCATTCTCCCGTAGATAGTGTCCAAGTCATTCGCAATCATTTCGTTTGTGTCACACTTTATTTGACGGGGGGAAGTTTCACGTACGCACGCGCACGTAACGTATAATATCTATCACATTAATCCTACTTCGTATCTTCCTGCGACAGCAGAGAGAGAGAGTTACATTTTTCCAAATTATAATTGCGTAACTTTGGAAGACAATTTTGGGAAATACATTTGCCAAAGTACATTGCGATCTTTTTCATTACTGTTTTTCTCGCGAGACGTGAGACTTCCTTGCTTACATGGCACTTCCCTGATCATAAATAACTCAATAATCTTCTCTGCTTCACTCACAGGCGCTTTACTACTAACGCAATAACTGTAATATTTGTATCAATTGTTGCATATATACATGTAGATAGTGTTACATATATTTTTATGCAATTATCCAAGGAATAGCTAACATAACTTAGAAAGAGATAGATAAATAACTATGTTTTCCGTTTAAATTTATGGGACATGTGTGACGGAAATCGTATTATGTAATAAATTAATTTATTTTTTTGTGAATCATCATCGATTCCAAGTCTAGGAAAGTATGCACGGATCGGCTAAGATCTTCATGCTTCCCGAGGCCTATGTAATATTTACGTTCTGTTCTATAGGATATACATAATATGTATGTATGTTAGCGTTCTATTCCCTGTTTATTTTCATCTTCACTCAATTACATAATTTTCTGTCCGTCTGTAGTTGACAAAAAAGTTGATCGATGAACGGAATCGCGAAGAAGCTCTATTAATTAATTTGTACAAGGCTATGTTAATTAATTTTCTAATACGCAAATACAAAATTGAATTACGATCATTAAAGAGGAATATCTTGTGAAATAACGTGGCTAAAAAAAAAAATGATATAACTGTATGTATACTCTTGAGATTGTGTGTGTTTAGAGGAAAAGTTTTTCATCGCTGTAGTTGTCTCGTCCATGTGGTCGTATATCATAAATTATTTGTCGCTTTATTGCGAGAGCTTAGGTATGGAAATAACAGGGTAAGTGTGGTTACCATGGGCTATGTATTAGAGTTAGCTGAATAACTTATAGAGAGCGCGGTTTCCTTGATGGGAGTCCCATAACTATGGTCGTTTAATAGACACCAATTAGACACTCAAGTTTGTATTACAGTCCTTACTTAAATGTAAATCCCATGAGAGAAAAGATCCTAAATAGAGCTAGAAAGAGATTCCACAAGTTGGATTTCAAAGCCGTGTGACAAAAGTATAGCCACAAGGTTAGTCCACAATATTGTTGTAAAGTAAAAACGTCGGTCCACGATTTCAGACGCGTCTGCAGACATTTTCTGTAAATACAAGACACTTGACTTTGTGCGCATTTCCTTTTTTCCGGAAATCAAAACGCTTGTTATATCGCTTAATTTGGTATCGCGTTAATACATGATTTCACTAATCTGTGCGCGCGCGTGCGTGTGTGTAAATAAATTTTCTAACGTCCCTTTCTCGCATTGCAGAAACTTGAGGAGCAGTTCGCGTTACAATTAGAGGAGCAGGAGACGATTTACGGGCCTAGCGCGATACCACTGTGCTTGCCGGCTGATCTTCCTGATCTGACACACCACACGACTGAGTCTACGCGTAGCTCGCTGTCTTCCGTGAGCGAGGGCTGAGCGCGTTCGAGGATACGGGAAGGCTCTTGTACAATCCGCGTAGCTACGCGTACGTCCTTAGATCCGAGCGTCTTTAATTGAAATGCACGGGACGATCGGTGTCATCTTCACCGATCGTCACCGACTATTTGTACATATCGCGATAATCCTCGTTTTGGAACTGAATATTAAATAATTTTTACCTTTACGGTGCGGCTGTTGTTTGTATGTATGAATAATCGAGCCGCCGGGAACAACCGGCCGGCGGTTGTAATAACAACGGTATTTCGAAATTTTTTTTACACGTCGCATTTTGTAATTTCGCGGATAACGTTGGGATCAGTGTCGTCCTACAGTCGCGGCGTCCCTGAATTAAAAATGTTCAATTTTGAGATTTGTCGTTGAAACCAGGAGCGCCGATCTTTGGTACGACGAAGTGTAGAGCTTCCGAATTCTGAGTATTTCGCGTATTTATTACTGCGGAAATCAGAGTTCACGCGAAAAATATGTTGCCTAAAAAAAAAATTAATAAATATCTGTACAGATTGTTATGTAATTTATATATTGCGATGTAACGACACACGCATTGGTAAAACTGAAATTAATCCGCCCATGTCTGATCTTGGAATCTTGTTGTTACAATGCGAGACAAGCACTGATATTCCTTAGATCGTGGAAAGTGAAAATGTAACGAGCCTTTTGTGCGCATTATGTACGCACTATCGCCCATAATTCTAATGGATTGTACAAGTAGTAGAAAAACGAAATCTATAATATCGATTCAAGAATAATTGGAGATAATTCAATGAACATTACCTCAATTATTTAAATTTAGAATAATAATTGCAATTAATATACAACAAAAACGACAGTTAATTGTTCTAATAAATTATTACTTGTGTCAACAGTATGAACACGTGCTTAGTTTTTAAAATTGTGAACCAAAGCATAAAATATCTGTTATAATTATGAGCGATAGTGTATGTATCGTATAACAGTTAACTTCGTTAACGCGTCGGTGCAATTAGTAATAGTTTTGAGGGAGGATAGCTGTGTTGTGTATGTATGTTTATAGAAGGCGAGAAAGAGAGTATGTAATGATTTTACGGCTATACATATACAATTTACACAGGCACGGAATGTATATTTTCTATATTTTAAAGAATTATATCCGTATACCAATCAATTCAATTCGCGATCGAGTGAGCGGAGGGGCGTAAAGAAAAATTTTATAGTGTTGCGTGTAATTATACGATGGCGGTAGGCGCGGCAGAATGATGCAAATCACGGAATTTATTTTAATCATGATTTCGAGGTATTATTATTATTATATCCATAGAATCGTTGAATGTACATGGTAAAAGTTCATGTAACGATGTTAGGCTGTAGTCACCATGTTCGGTTATAGTTACGTTATTTATAACAAAAGGAAGAGTTTATAGTAGCAACGCGAGTATTCTACTTCAGACGAATATTTTAGCGAATATCCGGTAAACACTCGGATTACTTTGTTCCTTGGATCGCTTTCGATATTTTTTTTTTTCTCCAATACGGAAAACGATACGATATTATGCGTTTGAAATCATCAGTTCGTACAAAATCGTACAAATGCGAAAAAATATGTATTCCCAAATTTAACGACATTGCACGACATTGTCTATCACGCCATTATACGTTTCAATGTACAATTTCACAATTCTCCGAAACACATGTAATTGTACGTTTAAATTTGAACGCATTATTTGAAAATGAGAAACTGCCATTTATAAAGCTAAAAAACGACGTTTATGAAAGACGCTTCAAGAAAAAAAAAGCCGCTTTTGTGGGAAACACTTCGCACTGATAACGAATACGATGCTGCTACTTATGGATAGGGTATGATAATTATTACGTGATTATATTAATGAGAAACAAAGTAATCTAGTTTTACATTGTACTAAAAATCAAAGGATAACACCAAATATATATACACATCGTACGTTTGCATGGCTGTGTAGCCTGATGACGTCCTAGAGAATCTCTCTTACGATACAATGCATACTTAAAACGAGCATGCGTGGCTAATGCAAGCTGTAGATAAAAGAGTACTTGTAAAAAAAAAGGAACACCTTTTTTTATTGTAAATTAATCTCGCTGCGAAGTCGATTAGTTTTTCAATGTATATATGCGGAATGTCTTAGACTCACCGAATCTGTTTTTCAATGGATTTAAAAAAAAAAAGATAAATGAACTCGTTTACGAAGGTGTGTATGTGTGTGTGTGTGTGTGTGTGTCTGTATGTATGTGTAAGACTGAAAGAAAATGCGACGGAGACGAAAGACATCCTGCATATATGAACATAATTATTCGGAGAGTTTCGTGTACATAGGATTCTGATAAATTGTTTAAATATTAAGGAACTGTAATCTAGTATAAATATCATGTTACAATGATTCATTGAAGAGCAAATTTCTTTCCTTCTTCAATAAAACTCTACCGTGCATATCTCTTTTATATCACGACAAGATTAATTCTGTAGAACAAACTTATATCGTATACTACTTCTATGTCGCCGTCGATTATTAAACGATTTTATTGATATTACAAAATCATTGACGCTCCCTTATGTGGCACGAATATGAATGTAAATTATTCATCATGTTAATTTACTTGTAAGTATTTGTTGAAAATACATGAATTTCGAAAGCGTGCGCTTTTATTGAACGTCACTGAGAGATCTTAAGATAAGCATTATTGTGCGAGACTCGAATAGTCTCTTTGCTTTTCGAATATTAATATTTTTCAAAAATTGAAGATGCCTCTACACAAAATTAAACTCTAGAGAGAAGAATGCTTAATATTTTACTTTTCTCGTGGCTGAAAATTCTAATGCGACAAAAATTCAGAAAAAAAGGAATAAATTAAATGGAGATTAAAATTAAATCTATATTGATAAAAATGGATATATCAACTGTGATTAAATTTTAATGTTAGAACTAATTACATTCGACTGCTACTTAAGTCCTAATAGGTTTAATTAATACATGCATACGCGCGATTGAGGTCATAACTTCAATCTATCGACATCGAAAACGAAAATGACAAACTGCAATTATAACTTTTTAAACTTGATTATTATATAAAGTGGTCGTATAATTTAGAGTTATTGTTTGTTAATAAATAAAATAATGGGCTATAAGCTAGAGCAAGATTATTTAATGCTTTAATATAAGGCACATCAAAAAGCAATTATACAAGAGATATACTTAACAAATATATATCGCTATTTACATTTATACTTATATTTATATTAAAGTTTGAACTTCCATTGGTTGCTGCTAAGTTTCTTTTCATGCGCAGCAAATGCGGTGGAAGCGATTCTAAAAAATTTAAATCACGTGACATTTTGCTGCTGCTGCGTATGAAAAGGCAGCTATACGTTTACGTAAAATCTTTGTACTTTGACCTATGACTACGACCTATGTACACATTTGTCCGATACAATAAAGGTCCATCTACAATGAGAGGAGTAAATCGTAACCCATAAGAAATTGATCAATCACAATCGAATATAAAAAGAATAATTGGCTGTAATTGGTCCATTTCTTACGGTTTACGACTTATTCCTCTCATTGTAGATGGACCTTAACAGATAAGTAATACTGTGGATTCGATAAGAGTAAATCAATAAATTCAACGTGTGAATAAAACGTAGTTCAGTAGTAACAATTATTCGTAGAAGTGATCGCGAAAAAATTTCTGATGTAATTGCTTATAAATTGTCTGCACATATGTATGTATATTCCTATATCTTCTTGCATTTCATTGGAGCCAGCCCAAAGAGAAAAGTTCTGCGACGATACCTACACAAAGACTCAGTATTTCGCGGAATCTACCCACTGGTTATACTGTGCAGCTACTGTATTGTTGCGTACTACGATAGCTGTGATGATTTCAGATCACAGCCTAAGTTGCCGACAAGTTGCTGGCAAGTTGTTATCCAAACTTGTCGTATTATAAGAACGTCAACTTGCCAGCAAATGCAGACTCACTCACTCAGCCCAGGACAGCACCAATTCTGACAGTAAATACAGCAACATATGTTCGTAATTACGGTTGCAACATATTTTCCAAGGAATGTTCCAATGTTGACGGAAACAAGATGAACAGAAAAAGCACAACACGCTGCTATATAGACTGTGTATCGCCCGAAGCACCGAGTACATCCTAGTTCTTGACAAAGAGTATAACAATCCTTTTTCAATTCTTCTTCACTATCAGTCTGTAAAAAATAAATTTTCTAGATAAATTTGAGATCAATTTTAAATAAAATTCGGCGGAAATATTGTAAAAATATCCCATGTTTTTGTCCTTACCTCCGATTTATCTGAATCTTTATCCGATTCTTCGTCTTTTACAAGTGCTTCTTTATCGGATTCCAATAGAACTGGAGTTAATGGTTCCACGATATCTTGTTCTTCATCGGACGGCAAATCATTTGCTTCGTTTGTTTGTTGATCTTGAGACGTGACCCTCATCGATTCATCACTCTGTAAATTAGATGACTCCGTCTTTTTTCTACGCATAAAAAGAGCTAATTAAATCAAACGCACATCTACCAAGCCGTTAATTAGCGCTTGAGAGGATATCATTCTAGAGCGCGCTACAAATAAAGCAATCAATCATCATATAAATCATTAACTTTAATATTGGTTTAACTTAATTACTTTTTATCTTTTTCTAGTTTCAAGAATTAGAAAAAAATAAGGAATAAATTAAATAAAGATCAAAGTTAAACCTACATAAAAATGGTATATAAATAGCAACTGAATGTGATTAGATTTGAAAGTTAGAACCAATTACATTTTACTGCTACATCTGTCATTTGACTGCTCCTCTTCTTTTACAATTAGTGTGCCTTGTTCAGATTCCAATGGGTTTGCAGTTAATGGGTCCGCGATATTTTGTTCTTCATTGGACGGCAAATCATTTGCTTCGTTTGTTTGTTGATTTTGAGACGTGGCGCTCACCGATTCAGCACTCCGTGATTTAGACGTCATTTTTCTAGGCATAAAAAAGGCACATTAATTAAGTCAACACTTTCTACAATCTACCGAGCTGTTGGCGCTTGAAAGGATATCGATTATCCCAGAGCGCGCTACAAACAAAGCAGTTACCATGGCAATTACTTAATTAATCAATATAAATGTGAATAATTCCAATACTGATTTAACTTAATTACTTATCTTTTTCTAATTTCAAGAATGAGAAAAATATAAGGAATAAATTAAATTGAGATTAAAGATAAATCTACATTGGTATAAAAATGGATATAAATAGCAACTGAGTGTGAATTGTGATTAGATTTGAAGGTTAGAACCAATTACATTCGACTGCTACTTGACTGCTCAAAATTGCAGTCAGGAATTCACGGTATATTATTTTATCGAATGTTAAACAAGGATAATATCTAGGTCTAGATCTAGAAAAAATTAGAGTCATTGTTTAACGCTAGCAAAAATTTCATTTTATTTAATAAATAATTTTATACATACATAATTTTAACCTCAAATCTATACCATATCAAATTTGATCGAGGGTGGATTTACTGAAATTATTGTTATATTTAGGATTATTTGATATACAATATATACATAATAAAAAAATACATATAAATATATGAAATAATTTTTGGTGTACCACACGCTCGGTTTATGTAGGTGCCATCGTAAAATATCACGAATATTGCTCGGCACACGTCGGAAATCAATTAGAAATCTGCAGTGGTCGAGCTGGTCCTTAACTCGTTGTTTATATTTCGCCGTTCATTTTCGACTTGCTGCTCTTTCGCGTTCCACACGAGCAAGTTAAACCTTTTCATCGTCGTTGGTCCTCTCGGCATTTTCGATTATAGTTCCAAAACACAATAGGTATAGCAAGCCTTAAGCTAGATCCTCATGTAGACCGATTTGACGTGATATACAACAGAAAGTATAACAAAAAATAACATTGAACGAAGTACGGAAACATGTTTACGATTAATTTATTTTTAATAAGTCCCAATAGGTCTAATTAATACATGTATACGCGCGATTGAGGTCATAACTTCAATCTATGGACATCGAAAACGTAAATGACGTACTGCAATTATAACTTTTTAAACTTGGTTATTATATAAAGTGGTCTTATAATTTAGAAAATTGTTTATTAATAAATAAAATAATGGGCTATAAGCCAGAGCAGAGTTATTTAATGCTCTAATATAAGGCACATTAAAAAGCGATTATACAAAAGATATACATAACAAATATATATCACTATTTACATTTATACTTATATTTATATTAAAGGTTGAACTTCCATTGGTTGCTGCTAAGTTTTTTTCATGCACAGCAAATGCGGTGGAAGCGGTTCAAAAAAATTTAAATCACGTGACATTTTGCTGCTGCTGCGTATGAAAAGGCAGCTATACGTATACGTAAAATCTTTGTACTTTGACCTATGACTACGACCTATGTACACATTTGTCCGATACAATAAAGGTCCATCTACAATGA